GAATGAAAACGTGATGTTATTACAAGGTGGTTCGGACTCGGTTCTCTTCAGGAGGCTTGTTAGGGACCCTTGATGACTGGGCCTGACCCCCTCTCTGAGGCCTAATTTTACTTGCCCCCAAATCCCGCGGTCCGCCGGAGCCAGTAGGTCGGGAACTGTGAAGACCATTATACTCCGGAACAGGCACTAAGGTCTAGAAAGGAGGAAAGGGGTGGCCGGGACTCTCCGCCTCAGAGCGCTGCGGTCCTGCCTCCATGGAAACAGCGAGGCAAGCCGGGAAAGCAACTCTTCCGCCCAACAACCCGCCCTCAGGCTAGACTGACCAATGGTCCCGTGGGTTACCTAAGGGACGTGTGATTGACAACGGGGTGGGGCGAGCGTGGGGAGCCAGGACTGTCTCTATCCAATAGAACATGAGGCCGGTTCCAGGACCAACAGGCACCGACCAATCGGAGTGCGTAACAGAGGGCGACGTGCCCACCCACCACGCTCCGCGTTGCCTGGAGCCGCGGCGGTTGTAAGCAAATGAGGGGGAATTTGGGAGTTGAAAGAGCGGCGCTGATTAGCCAATCCGGAATTGCCTGGATGAAATCCCACTTGTGATTCGCCCTGAGTAGACCAAATCCCCTGTGGGCTGAAACAGGCCGGACTGAGAGGTGTGAGTAGGGGACCCGGGAAATGGGGAGCCAGGTGAGGGGGGTGGGGGTGGAAGTGAGATGAGTGGAGGTGGCCGCGGAGAGGAGAGAATGGCAGGGGATGGGGCTGAGACGGCTAGAGGAAGGCGTGGGCGGATGGCGGTGCAGGGACCTCTCAGGCTACCCTCACCGCCGATCTGGACCCAAGGCCTGGCGGCCAATAATTGCTGAATTGGGGGTGGAAAAGGCAGGAATGCTTTATTTCTCATGCTCTTAAGAAAGTGAAATGTCAGTGCCCGATTCGAAATACCTTGTGACCGAAACCTTAATCTCTCTCCCAACTACTGGTAGATAGCGGGCGAAAATTCTGAAGACGAGATCTGTGGGCACTGTTTTCCTGTCGCCAGTTTGAATCTGCGACAGGGCGGGGGAAATTAGACTAATACCTTCTCCCAGTTAAGGGAGGACAGAGTTGGGTTTTGGGGGAGGGCTCCTTCTTATGAGAGAGAAAACCTAAAACGTTATCTCCATTCAGGAAGATGTAAGAAGTTTGCCGTGCTTCCTCAGTCATGCCCTATTCTTAGTTTATAATTTAACTCAAGTCAGCGTGATCACTAGGAGTATAAGAAGGTTAACTCCAAATCTCAAGCTTTTAAACACTTTCCCCCCAAATATTAAAGGCCCAGAACTGGTCCTGAACAGTTGGTCTACACAGTGTTATTGTCCATTATTTGCCTCTGTTCTGGCTGAGGCCAGTCTCCACATTATTCCCCAGATACTCAGTGGCCAATCTTGTCTCACCCTCTTTGTTCAAACTATTTTCTCTCCGTGGATCCCCTTCCATTTCTGATTCACCTTTCCCATTCCTACCCATATGCCAGGGCCCAGCATTAGTTCTAGCTGTACCATGAAGACCCACAGTAACTTCAGCCAAAGCAATATTTCCCCCAAATAATACAAGTGAAGAAGTGCTCTGAAGACGACAGTGCTCCTGCAGATATGTAGTAGTAGTAGTATTTTTTTGGGAAATTAACGATAAATTAAGTTTGGCACATTGTCATATCTTTCTTTAGTGTTTCCTAATTGTTTCATGTGCTGTTGATGTTAAGAAACCACAGGCTATTAAGGCAAGAGTGACATCACATTTCTTTTGTGTCCTCAAAGTCCCTACCAGTGCTTAAATCAGACGGAGAAAGACAAATATCGTATGATTTCACTCATACGTGGGATAAACAAACAAAAATGAACAAACCAAACCAAACAAGAAGAAGACATAGATCCAGAGAACAGAGTAGTGATTATCAGAGGGGGAGGTGGGGAGGGTGCAAAATGGGTAAAGGGGATCAAATGTAGGGTGACAGATGCAAACTAAATTTTTGATGGTGAGCACACAGTAGGGCATATAGAAGTGGAAATATAATGTTGTACACATGAAACATATAATGTTATAAACCAGTGTTACCTCAATAAAAAATAAATCTTTAAGAAAGAAAAAAGGAAACAGTGGGTTACAGGAGTGAACTGCCCTTCTGGAAGATTCTTCTTCATTTTCCTTTATAGCAGTTCCAAACCTTCAAAGATAATTGGGCGGGGGGTAACTTGCACACTTTTTTTCTACTTTAAACACTTCAATAAGGTTTGAATTTTAAAATATTAGGATAATGCCTCTACCTTTATAATGAAATAAAATGCAAGTCTGGGGAAAATCAATTGTCACGCTACCAAAATGCCATCGATGTGTCATCATCTGTTAACGCGTTGACAGAAAATGGGGAGCAGTGTATCCGGATTACACCCTTCCACCCTTTTTCCTGCGTGCTTCTGTGATTTGAAAGCGCATAGCGACTGTTGTCCTTTAAACACACCACTCGGGCCCCCAGCAGGCAGCCCTCCAGTGCCAGCTTCTGCACTGGGGTCAGTACCTCCTAATTCCTGCAGATTCTAAGCAGGGCTCATTCTCTTTCCTTCCTCCCTCCCCAGAGACAAACGCTCTTCTGAAATTGCTTTCCATCATTTATGCCCATGTTTATGTTTACTGTATATGTGTAGCTCATAAACTATATGTATATTGCTATTTAGGTATTTTTAAAATTTTAAAGATACAAGTAGCATAGTACTGCGGGCTTCATTTTGCAACTTGCTTTTAGACTCAATATTGTTCTGAGATACATTCATTTCAATAAGGCTAGCTCAAGTTCATTCATTTTAAGTGTTCATTCTGAGTATATAATACCCATTCCCTTACTGATGGACATATAGATTTTTTCAGATGTTTTGCTATTATGAAAACCCTTCTACATGTCTCTTTATGCCAGAGTTTATCTAGGACCGTGGTTCTTTAAGGGGATGGTAGTGCCCCTTTGGTCATTTTGGAATTCGTGAGGGCACCTCTGGTTATTATTGTGATTTGGGGGACACTACCAGGGTTTACAAAGAAGGTCTGGGGATGTTAGAAGTCCTGCACTACACTGGACAGCCCCTCATAGTAAAGAATTGTCCTTCCTCCTGCACAACTTTTGAGGGTCTCACAGGATACTCATTTATAATGTGAGCCTAGAACCTAACTCCATTTTTTGTATAAACATAATGTATTTTTTGGCACAGTTTAATATAGTAAAATTTCCAGGAATGCACTCTAATGTAAATCAAGGGGAAAGTATGCTTATTTGTGGTTTGGAACTTTTTAACAAGAGTTGTTCATCACTCTAGAAAACCCCGTACCTGAAGGCAGCCCAGCTCGTGGTATTTGAGTTGCCGTATAACACACCTACATCAACCAGCATTTGTAGCTTTTGCGTTCATGGTGATTCTAAGTTTAGGTGCGAGCATCTGAGTGCGTTACTTCCTTATGTATTCTAGTGTAGTCAGCCTGAACATTTGTATATTTAAACATATGCTGTTTTATTATGAATTACTTTCCATTTAAAATTGGCTTCTGCGTATGATATAAAGTAGAGATCTGGTTTTATTCTTTTCTGATTGGATAATCACTTGTCCCAACACTATCTATGAAATCCTCTACCCACTGAGTATAAAGCCAACTCTGTCTTGTGCAAAGTTCTCATAAATGCATGGATCTGCTTCTGGGTTCTCCGTTTTATTCCACTGGCTCACGTGTCTTTATGCCACTATCACACTGTTTTAATTACCTTGGTTTTATAATGTGTCTTGCGGCAGTTGGTAACACGAAAGGCAAGTTTCCATCCTGTTCTCAAAATTGTTTTCGCTATTCTTGGGCTTTTGCTTTTCCATATGAATTTAGGATCAGTTTTCAAGTTCCACAAAAAATTACTTTGAGATTTTGGTTAGAATTGCATTGAACTGATAGATTAAGGAAAATTGAGATATTTCAATATTAAACCATCCCATCCATTCAGGAACATGGGTTATTTCTCTATTCAGGCCTTTTAAAAATATGTATCTTCAAATAAAGTTTTATAATTTTTGCTATAAAAATCTTCATGGGCTTCCCTGGTGGCACAGTGGTTGAGAGTCCGCCTGCCGATGCACGGGACACGGGTTTGTGCCCCGGTCTGGGAAGATCCCACATGCTGCGGAGCGGCTAAGCCCGTGAGCCACGGCCGCTGAGCCTGCGCGTCCGGAGCCTGTGCTCCGCAAAGGGAGAGGCCACAACAGTGAGAGGCCCACGTACCGCAAAAAAAAAAAAAAAAAAAACTTCACATCTTTTGTTGGATTTATTCCTAATTATACATGTATACTTATTCATACACACATCTTTTTATTGCAAAAGTTTCAAATATATTCAGAAGTACAGAAAATAGTATAGCAAACATTCATGTATTCGCCACCCAGCTTCAACAGTTAACTCATGACCAGCCTTGTTTCATATTAGCCCCCGTCTTCTCCTCTCCCCTGAATAATTATAAAGTTCCCAGACATCGATTTCTCTTATCTCTGGTGTGCGTGTGTGTGTGTACCTGTATATCAGAAATAATCTTTTAGCAATATAACCACAACACCATTGCATTTTTTAATTAATTATTTATTAATTTTTGGCTGCATTGGGTCTTCGTTGCTGCACGTGGGCTTTCTCCAGTTGCAGCGAGCGGAGGCTACTCTTCGTTGCGGTGCATGGACTTCTCATTGCAGTGGCCTCTCTTGTTGCGGAGCACGAGCTCTAGGCGAACTGGCTTCAGTTGTTGCAGCAGGCGGGCCTCAGCAGTCGCAGTACGCGGGCTCAGTAGTTGTGGCTCACAGGCTCTAGAGTGCAAGCTCAGTAGTTATAGTGCATGGGCTTAGTTGCTCCATGGCACGTGAGATTTTCCCGGACCAGGGCTCGAACCCGTGTCCCCCGCATTGGCAGGCGGATTCCCAACCACTGCGCCACCAGGGAAGTCCCCACATTTTTAAAAAAACAATATTTTTCATTTAAAAACTAAACAGCAATTCCTTAATATCATCAAGTATCCAGATACTGTTCAGATTTCCCCAGTCATCTCATAAACGTTTTTGTATAGTTGGTTTGTTTGAATCAGGACCCAAACAAAGCCCATATATTGCATTTGTCTGGTATATCTCTTCAGACTTTCTTTGAAGAAAACTTTTTTGGAAAAAAAAAAAAGGTATAACGCACATACCGAAAAATATGCAAATCAGAAGTGTACAGCTAGATACAATTTAACAGAATTAACAAAGCCATGTAACCAACACCCAGATGAAGAAACAAAATTTCATAAGCACCCCAGAACCCCCTTCAGACCCCCTCCAGTCACTACTTTCTACAAGGGAACCACACTCCTGACTTCTAACCCCAAAATTAGTTTGACCTGTTTTTAAACATTATATATGTGGAATTATATGGTATGAACTCTTTGGCCTTTAGCTTTTTACACTCAATATTTGCGAAACACCCACATTGCTGGGTATAGTTGTAGTTTGTTCATTTTTGCTGCTTTCTACTATTCCATTGTATGAATGAAGAGATTGTATGTATAATACCACACTTTATCTATTCGACTGATGGATATTTAGGTTGTTTCAGTTTTTAACTATTTCAAATAGGGCTGCGTTGAACTTTTGTACATGTCTTTTAGTGAACTTATGTGTATATGTCTGTTGGGGACACACCCAGGAAGAGAAGAGCTGGGTCTAGGGTTCATGGACATTCAGCTTTATTAGATATTACCAAGGAGTCTCCAAAGCGGTAGTAACAACTACTGGTAGTCTACTGGTAGACACTCACCAGCAGGGTATGAGCGTTCCAGTTACTCCACATCTTTGTCAACACTTGGTGTTATCTGTCATTTTCATTTTAGCCATTCTGGTAGGTGTCTAGAGGTACTGCATTTTGGTTTTCATTTGCAATTTCCTGATGACTAATGAAGTTGGGCACCTTTTCACATATTTGTTGGCCATTTGTATATCCTCCTTCTCAAGTGTTTATTCTTAGCTGCTTGATCTATCAGTTTCTGAGAGAGGTATATTAAAATCTTGCACGAAATTTGTGGGCTTTTCCATTTATTGCGGTGATTCAGTTTTGGTTTTATATGTTTTGGGGCTTTGTTTTAGGTTCATGTGTTTTGAGTTGTATTTTTTTGTTAAATTATTCCTTTTGTGACTGTGTCGTTATTAATAATTTTCAAAGCTTTACATTCCGTTTTTCTTGATACTGATATTGCTTTACCAGACTGTATTTTGTTTTGTTTTGTTTTTTTCTTTTTTTTGGTAATTGTGGTAAAAAACACATATATAAAATTTACTACCTTAACCATTTTTGAGTGTTCAGCAGTGTTAAGTATATACACATCGTTGTGTAACAGATCTCTAGAACTTTTTCATCTTGCACAACTGAAACTCTGTATCCATTGAACAATTCCCCTTTTCCCCTCTTTTTGTTTTGGTAGTATTTGCTTTGTATGTCTTTTTCACTCTCTTTATTTTCAGCCTCTCTCTCATTATGCTTTCTTCACAGCTTTTATAAAGAGCTGTTCAAAAAAAAATCTAATATAAGAATCTCTTTTAATAGTCAAGTGTAATCTGCTTACATTTACTATGATTACTGTTATATTTGGGCTTATTTTTACAGTCTTATTCTGTATTTTCCTTTGTTTCTTTCCACTCCTGCCTTCTGCTTTCTTCCTTTATTTTTCTCACTCTACTAGTATGGAAGTTATTCATCCTATTTATGTTATCTGGTGTTTAACATGCATGTTTAGCTTAACAAAGCCTATAGGTAAAATCATTAACTCTCACCTCCTCAGAGCAAAATAATAACTATGGAATGATTTAACTTTGAGCTGTCCTTTCTCACCTTTCACTTGTCGACAAATATTTTAATTCTTCCTTGTTTTTAACTCATCAAGAAATTAGTCCTTATCATTAAAGAAGTCTTTACTGTCAGTATTTACTAGTATTTTTCTCACCTTTCCTCCTTACATCTCACACCTTCTTTCTCAGTTCATTTTCCTTCTCGGTGAAGTATATCTATGAGAGGTGAACTCCATTCCAGTCTTTGTATGTCTGAAAACCTCTATTTTACACTCACTCCAGTGGGAACCTTGCATGCTGACCTCCCTCCAGAGAGGTTTCCATCTGTCTATGCTGGGATCCTATGGGCTTCTCACTGTTCATGTAGTTTTCATGTTACTCTTACTACTTGGGATTCCCACACCTCCGTGCTAGTGTGATCCGAACCCCTCTCCCGCATGTGATGAAGGATGGGGATGCAGATTTCTCTTGGGTTGTTCTTTTTTCACCCATAGGCTCAGGTACTTGGCCCGCTTTCTTCCAGCCACGTCAGCATCAAATTTTTTAGTTCCTGTTTCAAAGACAGCTGAGCCCTTACAGAGCCCATTTTTATACCTTGTTCTCAGTTCTAGTTCTCTGTATCATGGGTCTGAGGGCTCACCTGTCGAGGAAAGGACCCCTCCTAAGGTTTGCACCTGGTTCCAGGACCCCTGCAGGTCTTTGGGCTCAGCTCCTGCCTACTATCCAGGCTTTGAGTTACATTTTTGTTTATAGTACTTAAGGATTTCCCTTTATTGCTTTCAAGCTGCGCTGTGTATTAAATTCTTTTCATCTATTTTATTAAGCCTTTCTATGTGTTTGCTGTTGTGTGGGGTAATTCCCGTGTCAGCTCTGTCCAGCATATTGACCAGAAGCCACAGTCATCTTTCTCTAAAATTAGATACGATCCCTTCATTGGACTTTTGTGGGCTTGTTAGCACTGCTTCATGTATTCATCCAACAAATATCTATTACTTACAACCTCTGTAGAAAAGAACCGGCGAGACTGTAGTGAGCAAGATACAAAGTCTCTGCCCTCCTGGAGTTTACTATTCCAGCTGGAGAGACAGAAAGTAAACCTGTGAACAATAAATCAGAATGTGAGCTACAGTTTGCGAAGTGCCCTCTGAAGGGACTAGAGTGAAGGTGGGTTTCTTTAGCTATAGGATGGTCAGGGAAGACCGCTCTGAGGACGCTGTGTTTAAAGCTGGGTCAGAAGGATGAGGAGAAGCCAGCCCTGCAAATGGTAGACGGCTTCTTTGCAGTCAGGGGTTCATTCCAGGCAGTGGAAACAGCAGGCACAAGGACCCAGAGATGGGAAAACCCTTGGCATATTGAGTTACTGAGGACACCCGACACCCCTGTGTCTAATGAGGGGAGAATGGGCAAGGGGGCCACGCCCATCTGCTGCCAGGTCTCTCTGGCCACCTCTCCCTTACTCTGTCCTCTGGCCATGGTTCTCTCCCAAATGGGCCCATGCAGAGTCACCTCCTTTGTAAAGCCCTTCTCACATGTCAATTCCCATTGCACTTTGTTTTTCCTACTGATCAGAATGGAAAGTTGTCTGCATAACAGTGTTCTCCAATAGGTCTTAAGCTTCTGTCAGAAGAAATGTCTTGTTTACCTTGTGATCCCCAGCTTGTAGCAATGCTCTACAAGGTAGGTGCAAAATAAATGTTGACTGGGACTTCCCTGGCAGTCCAGTGGTTAACACCCCACGCTTCCAATGCAGGGGGCGCGGGTTCGATCCCTGGTTGGGGAACTAAGATCCTACATGCCTCTCTGTGTGGCCAAAAAAATAAATAAAATAAATAAATAAATAAATGTTGAGTGAATATATGTGGGGTTTTGTTGGTTAGCAGTTCATGCTTAGGACTTACTTTCCAATATCCTTATAACAGAAATTCTCATAGGTAATCATTTTTGTGGTATTTAAGCCATTAGGGTAAAGAAAACCATCAGCCTAAGGAGGAAATTGTTTGCTTAAGGCTTGCCTCTGATACTGAAAGGGAAAATCAGGGGAGGTACTATATGGTGTTACCCTGGAGTGGGTTGAATGGTGGCCCAAGAAAGATATGTCCACATCTTCACCCCTGGAACCTGTGAATGGGACAGGTTTATTTGCAGATGCAATTAAGTTAAGGATCTTGAGATGAGATCATGATGGATCATTTGGGTGGAACTAAATCCAATGACAAGTGTCCCCATAAGAGATGGGACAGGAAGAAGACAGAGACACAGGGGAGGCCACGTGAAGACAGAGGCAGAGATTGCAGTGATGTAGCCACAAGCCAGGGAACACCTGGGGCCGCCAGGAGCTGGAAGAGACAGGAAGAATTCTCTCTTAGAGCCTCTGGAAAAAAGTGTGACCTGGCTGACACATTAATTTCAGAATTCTGGCCTCCAGAACTGTGAGAGTATAACTGTCTGTTGTAAGCCACCGGGTTTGTTAATACTATCCCATCACATCATACCTCAGTTACGTCTTCTGTAACGTGGATATGGTACCTACCTCAGAAGCTTATTGCCATGATTGAATGAGCTGTATATGTAAGGTACTTAGCACAAGTGAATGTTCAGGAACAGTGATGGCTCTTCTTCTTCTCCAAGGATTAGGAGTTCTGTCTTGTGATTGCCTGCTGAGTCACAGCTCGCACCACAGACTTAACCCGAGAGCTACGACTTCTCGTGGGCCCTGGAGCCCTCAGGTCCTGGTACCTTTTACAGCCCTCGGTTAGGGTTTTGTATCAAGGGAGAATCCAGCTTGTGGGTTGTGGGAAGACAAACTCAGATTCCGAATTTGAAATGACCCACATGGAGCAGAAAGCAGCTTCTCAGTCCTCACCAAAAAGAAAGGTTTGGGTTCTAAATTTGTAGTTCCTATTAAGGGACTCGACATTCCCAAAGACCTGTATTGACGAATCCTCCTACCACAGCAATCATCAAAAATTCCCCAGAATGAATTGGGACTTTCTGTGTTTGACCGCCCACCAGGAAACCCAGGAGCGCACGGAAGCCTGGCGGTACCCACAGCACCAGGGACAGACAGCTCATCGGGCCGGGGGGTCCAGGCCTGCAGCTCTCAGCTGCACCCCCCGCATGGCTGGCACCGTGCTGGGCGTGGGGGCTGGCGTGTTCATCCTCGCCCTGCTCTGGGTGTCAGTGCTGCTGCTGTGTCTGCTGCTATCCAGAGCCTCAGGTATAGCTAGGTAAGACCTTCTCGCCAGCCAGGAGTCCCAGGTAAAAGCAATTAGAAGTTCAATCGCTGACGCTCATGAAACGTTTAGAATTCAGAAGCTCATTGTTGTAATTACTGGCAGTTTGAATGAGTTGCATTTTCACGTCATCATAAGGACTAACTGTGTTATTTATGCTCGGAAGCAGAGGTGGGAGGAGAAGGGGAGTGGTATCTGTCAGCTCTCAGTGTTGAGGAGATGGGGACACAGGGGATGGAAAGAGAATCCGCTTTCGGTGCCTGTTGAGTTTCTTGGGGTTGTATGTGTGCGTGTTTCTTAGTTGTTGAGATTTACAGCAGGCACTGGGTCCAGCCCCTAAGGCTCCAGACCTGGGCCCTGGGACGCTGAAGAGTCGTAGGTGACTTGGGCTGGCATTGACTTAAGAAAGAATCAGGCCATAAGCTGACTCTAAGGTCACCATGGAGTCACACTCCCTGGCCAGACAGTGTAGCAAGTTACATCATTTACTAAAGTTTCCTGGTTTAAAACACAGCACTTGGGGGATGAGCTGCTTCGCTTTTTCCTGATCATGACTGCACAGAGGCAAAGATAAAAACTACCAATTCCCATTCTTAGGAATTTGGAGTTCCCAGGAATAAACAGGAACGCATCCCGCTGGTACCTGTCTGGGAAGAAGTGTTTGGGGATGAAGGGGAAAACATTTCTAAATTCCCTGGGCGGTGTGGGCAGCACACTGGGCCTGTTAATGGACTGAAACAGGATATCCGCCCAGGGAAGAGCCAGTCCCGGCCTAGCTGAATAGAGAGGAAACTGAACAGTGCTTTTAACCCTCTGTCTTTCACTCCCAGGTTCTCCGTCATTTTCGTGTTCCTCGGTGCTCTGATTATCACGGCGGTTCTGTTGCTCTTCCCCCGAGCCAGTGAATTCCCAGCCCCTGAGGCTGAGATGAAGGTAAAACCATGGGTTTTGTTTTGCATCCTGAGTTGTGTCTCTTCTTTCTCTTGCTCTGGACCTCCATCCTGCCCCACATGGTCCCTGATGCCAGGAGGGCCGAAGTGTGTTAGAAAAATTGTAAAGTTGAAACCAGGATCGGGGGAGCTCAGAGGGAGTTTTAACCCCCTCCCCCCTCCCCCAGGAAGAGACAGTTCTTCCGATGCCCCCTTGCGACACCCCCAGGCAGCTATTTGCCTAATCTGTTCTCGTCTCCAGTTTGCATCAAGTGGAAAGAGCCGTAAGCCCAGAAGCCACCTCGTGGTGTGAGGGCCGGAGCCGAGCAGACAGGCGGGAAGAGCCTGTCCTGAGTAAGAGGCTCCCACTCCTGCTGGCCTTGGCTCAGAAATTCGCATCCCGGGCAGCACGTAGGCAGTGCTCCCCGGTGCTGAACGACATGCTTTTTCACCTCCGTGTGTTTGCGTTTTTCCACTTGTGGCATGGAGCGAGCACTGTCCATAGAGAAGAGCAGTGAGGAAGGAGGGGCACTTCTCTGGAAAGCGGAAGTTGTAGAGGTTGGTGCGTTTAATACTAACAGCCTTTGGCGAGGCCCCTTTGGTCCTCGTTTCTAGAACCACATCTCCCAGCACCTACCCGTCTACGTGGATTTTTACCATCTCTCCTAGACCCCACCCATTCTGGTTCATTCCTGGCTGGGGCTCTGGCTTTGCCATACAGAGCTGGTCTCAGGTCCCCACGATCTTGATCACAGTATTGACTTCCTGTGTCCCATTACTTTTTCGAGCAGCTTCTTTCCTGTTTTAATTTTTAAGCTGTCACGGTGATAACAGCTAACGTTTTTTAAGGCATCACTGTGTGCCAGGTCCTGTGCTAAGCCTGTCGTTTACAAGCTCTCATTTAAACCTCAGGACAACCCTAAGTGGTATGACACAGGTGCTGTTAGTGTCCCCAGTTCATAGGTAAGGATGCCGAGGCTGGAAGGGGTTAGGGTAACTTGCCCAAGATCATACATGTATAGGAAGAGGCAGAGCAAGGATTCAAGCTGAGATCTGTCTTCAAAACCTTCATTGTTGGGGACTCCACAGAATATTAGGGGCCTTCGCAGAAAGTGCAGAGGTGACCATTTTGACACTAGACACTAGACTACACAAAATGATATAACTCCTGAACTAAAATCGGCACACATTTCCAGTTCTATCTAGGACTGACCATGGCAAAAGGGAGGAAATTCATTCTGAAAATTCCAAGGGAAATAATACCACACAAAACTGAGGAATTATTTTCATACATGCCAGGTTTTTTTTGGTCACCATTTGGAAACCACTCTGACTGTGTCAGGACTGTGTGTGTGAGCTGGGGCACAGACTCCCACCCTGGTTTTCCTAAAATGGGGAGAGCGGTGAAGGCTGCGTATTTCTGGATTGCTGTGGATGTGAACATTGGAAGAAGGGCACAGAGTAAACGCTGTTTCGAAATCAATCCCTCTTTCCTCTGTCATATGAGTTTCAGACCCAGGAGAGCAGAATGGGCTTTGAGCAAAATATGTTCGTCAGCATGGCCAGCAGGGTCTCATTTTCAGGTTTTGAGCACCAGCTCCTTCAGCAGCTTGGCTCAATACTGTATCAATAATACATGGCCTGGGCCTTGCTCACCCAGGCCTGCTAATTGGCTAATTAAAAAGGGAACCCTGTCGAACCAGCAAACATGCAGCTCGCGAGAGACCTGTTCAGTCCTGGAGCCAAGGTCAAGGTTATGTTAAAGCTATCCCAGCAAGCTGGCCTTTGTTGTAAGTCGGCTGTCAGGGTAATCTCTGGAGCAGCCCTTTCCTTCTTGGTGTCTTTGGAACTCAGGGATCACAGCAGAGCTCGGACTTGACAGGTGCTTTGTGTATCGCCACTGTATTAGTTACCTACTGCTGCTGTAACAAATGACCACGAAATTAGTGGCTTACAACACAAATTTACTATCTTATATAGTTCCGTAGATTAGAAGCCCCAAATCAGCCTCACTGGGCTAAAATCAAGGGGTTAGCAGGGCTGTCTTCCTTCTGGAGGTTCTGCGGAAGAATGTTTCCTTGCCCTTTCCTGCTTCTGGAGGCCACCCTCAGCTTGCAGTCCCCTTGCTCCATCTTCAGAGCCAGCAAAGTAACGTCTCTCTGACTCTGCCTCTGTCCTCACATCCTTCTCTCTGACCCTCTCTCCTGCATCCCTCTACCACTTCTAAGGACCCTTGTGATTACACTGGGCCACTGTACTGGACAGTTCAGGCCAATCTCCCTATTTTAAGGTCAGCTGATTAGCAACCTCAATTCCATCTACAACCTTAATGCTCCTTTGTCATGTAATTTAACATATTCGGACTTTCTGGAGATGAGGACGTGGACATTTTAGGGCCATTGTTCTGTCAACCACAGTCGCCCTTCAGGTATTTTGGGTTCTCTTCAGGTGCTGGGTTCTGGAATCTTCCGGAAGCTGTGAAGTCCCCAGTCACTTGGTTTGTGCTGCTTCTCCCTTAAGTCTGTAGATTAAACTGCTTTTTCCTGCCCGGACTTAAGCAGCACCATTTGGATCTGCGGAAAACAGAGCTCTGGCTGTGAACAGTAGACAAGCAGGGAGGGCCAACACCAATCATAGGTTTATGTCAGCAAAGACCAACAGTTTCGGGGCCTCAAGTACAACTGTACGAATTGGGGCAAGTTATCTCTCCTCTTCGTGTTTCAGTATCTCAGGAAAATGACTGTTTCCCCCAACCCTTGGAATGCTGGGTTACGAATTTTAGGGTTCAGAACTCTTCTGATGAAAGTTTTAGAGTCACCTTTTCATTTTGAAAATGACATCTCCTGAGTTGGCGATGGGTTGATGATGTGAGGGCTTGGGTCCTGGGTGTGTGGGGTTTATTATACTATCGTATCTTTATGTATGTTTAAAATTCTCCATGATGAAAAGTTGACAGCCACTTAATGAGCCTTTCAGAGACCAAGCAAGCAAACTTCTCATTAACTCTTTCTGAGAACTGATTTCAGAACAGAAAAGGACTCGTCCAGGGTCTTCAGAGTGTTTGTGAACCTCCTACTGGAGCCATTTGTTCCCTGGACTTCATTAAGCCTCTCTTTATCTTGTATTTCTGGCTCAGCACGTTGAAAAAAGGTTCTTTCTTATCCATTTGCAGGGTAGACTCAGGGCAGGATGTTACTGTAAGTTACAAACATGGACAGACTCTGGGCCCATTCATCAGAGATTACAGATGAGCACAGCCGGGGTTGCGGAAGCGACAGTAATTTCGTTTTTGATGTTTCTTTCTCCAGATTGTAGATGCCTTTTTCATTGGCCGCTATGTCCTGCTGGCTTTCATCACTCTTGTCTTCCTTGGGAGCCTTTTCTTGGTTCTAATCCATCACATTGTGGAGCCAATCTATGCCAAACCACTGCGGTCCCACTGAGCCATCTTCAGGAAAACCAAGACCCTGTTCTTTCCCTCGCTTTGATGTCATTGATGAGCAGAAAGGTATTGTTTGGAGTCTTGTTTTGACAGCCTTCCTGCCTAAAGATCGGAGGATCATCTCTTCATCACTAAGACAAATCCCTTGAGTCCTGGCTTCCAGAAACAGGGTTGCAAAATTGCCCCTGGGGAGAGATTCTCACCAGCTTAAGAGGGATATTGCCATCTTCTTAGCGCCTGTACCTCAGATTTTCCATCTCTTTTGAAAAGGAAATAGCAACAGGGGTCTGCTTAGAGTAGGTTTTCAATGAAGACTTCAGTAAATGAATTTTGGGAAAAGGGGCACTTTGGCTTCTGCTGTCAAATCGACAGAAGAACTTGGTCCTTTTTGATACTATGAAAAATTGTTAGTTACGAGGTCAAGATCATTTGGGAAAGAAAGACAATCAAAGTTCAAAAGGTTATTTCAGTGTAATGACCTGGAGACGTATCCAGGCCCCGGTTATGGAGCACTCCGCATATCACGACACCGGGCTCCACAGAGGCCACGGTGTCGCTTCCCGCTGCTCCAAGAAAGCAAGCAACAGCAGCTGAAGGACTGGCTTGCACCTCGAACTCCTGGCCACAGCCTTCTAAACCTCGCATTGCTATATTTCAGGTTCACTCGGGGATTAGAGGCGGGGTATGGAAATGCCAGTTGTGTGTCCTGCTGCTCTGTCTCTCTGGATTCTTTTGCTTCCAGGATTTGGCGGCCTTTGTTGCCTTATTTGGTTACCATAAGAGTCCATTTGGGGTTACTGTCATCTCTTTCATCTTCGTAGCTCTTTCTCCAAAGCTGATGAGGAATGTATATGCCCAGGCTTAGGTATAACTTTATACCTAAGCCCCCAGACCAAGTGAAATTTGTTAGTAACTAGAGGGGCTCTAGGCTGGTTCCATTTTGGAAGTCTCATCCTGGCTCCCTAGAGCTATTTGAAGAAGGAATTTCTGGCTTAAAATTAAGAACCAGAAAACAAGTTGGAAAAAGAACTTTGATTGAGTACATGCTATAATGCCAGTAGTACACTAATCTTTTTTTTTTTTTTTTTTTAACACAGATGTAAATGACAGGCTTGTGTGTTAAGGGCAAAAATATGCTTCGTACAAAAGGTATTTTAGCTCAGCCTGCCTTCTGTAGATCCTGTAACTCCCAGCAGTGGTGACATGAATGATGGGTCACCTTCTACCTTCATACGCCACGAAGTCATGTCCAGCCCTGAAAACGACCCTCACGGGGTTGGGATCAGAAGTAGAAGTCTGGGAGGGCACAAAATGAATTTCACTGAGTTCTACATGGGGGACCCCGACAATCAGTGGCTAATACGGCAGCCCTTGTGCTCACGGCCTTCCTGGGGACAGGGCTTAGAGGGCATCCCTTAAATACAAACAAATCATCTCAGGGTCCCATTCATCCTTCTTTGATCAATGGCCTTAGCGCAGGTGGTGCCACCCGGAGGGGATCCCGCGGCCACGAGACTGTGGTGATCCCACTGTCTGGAAGCGGGGGAGGGAGAGTTCAGGGCTTCTATATACGAAGACAGGTTATTTCACAGCCTCTTAAAATTGCATCCTGACGAAAACCACACGAGCAGGACGCCACAACGTTCACAGCGGAGACGTTTCTCTGATCCACTAGGTGGCGCTGTCGCGAGCCGGCAGAACACACTTGGTAATTTTTTTGACAAGTTCCTTTTATTTCTCACTGGTAAAACAGAAGTAAAGCTAACATTCTTTCCTGATGCATGGTATCGGATATTTAATCTAAGAATTCATCAGAGTTATTGTACGCTGTTCAGTTGCTAGGGAACGCACTGCCATTCATGAATGCTGCACACAGCAGGTGTCGGCACTCACTCAGCGTTGACTGTGCTCCCACTGGGTGTGAAGCACGGTCCTGGTGGAGTAAATCCACCCCAGAATGAGGCTCTGAGGCATCCAGGCTGTCTTCCTCCCTCCATCCTGGGATGAAGGGATCCAAACCATTTTTAAATGTTTTTATTCTAACATAAAGTAATCCATTTCTTGATCTGTTCTCTAAGACATCAACTTTTCTGTCAGCTCTATCCTGTTGCTGCTGCACTTGAAGGGTTTTGTTTTGCTTTGCTTTTTATTCATGTGTAAAGAAACCTGCTGCAATTATTTCACAGATGAGAGACAGGCAGAGAGATACAGGGGTTTAAAAAGTTGCCCAGGGGCTTCCCTGGTGGCGCAGTGGTTAAGAAGAATCCGCCTGCCAATTCAGGGGACACGGCTTCGAGCCCTGGTCCGGGAAGATCCCACGTGCCGCGGAGCAACTAAGCCCGTGCGCCACAACTACTGAGCCTGCACTCTAGAGCCCGTGAGCCACAACTGCTGAGCCCACGTGCCACAACTACTGAAGCCTGCATGCCTAGAGCCCATGCTCCGCAACAAGAGAAGCCACTGCAATGAGAAGCCCGCACACCGCAACCAAGAGTAGCCCCTGCTCGCCGCAACTAGAGAAAGCCCGCGCGCAGCAACAAAGACCCAACGCAGCCAAAAATAAATAAATAAATAAAAATTTAAAAGTTGCCCAGCTTGTTAGTAGTGAGGCTCACACTTTGCATCGGGATCCTGACATTTCATTTCTCCGATGGTTTTAAGGATCCGTTTTGGCTTTTGAACAACTTCTTATTTTTACATTGGCTAACACTATTTCTTAGCTGTGTGTACCCACCATTCCCCTGACCCGTATCCAAAAAATGTAAACGTTTCATTAAAGAATTCCTAATTAACATTTATGGTACAAATAAAAAGCATTTTATCATGACTTCTTGGCATAAAGCTTCAAGTATTTGGCTCTTATTACATAGGAGCAAGTTTCCAGACACGGGAATGGGAACCGCATGGAAATGAGTCTGGAGAAGCGCTGATTATCCTCGCGGGAGCATAAAAGCTCAGGATTGGAAGGGATGCTGTAGTCCATGGAGTTCAATCTTTCATCTCTATTTCCAACGCAATACTTCGGAATATTCTGTTCTTCACTTGCTGAAATCACAATTTTTATTGTATTGAGCAAACACGTATGAGGCACTTTTCTAAGTGCCTTCTTAAGTATTAACTTATGTAATCCTTATAGCAACCCTGTGAAACAAGTGCTCTTAATACCCCCATTTCACAGATGGGGAACAGGCACAGAGGGGTGAAGGGGTTTGCTTGAGGTCACTCAGCTAGGGGTTAAACAGGACTCAGGACCTGAACTCAGGCAGCCTCAGTTCTTTACTTCCTTACATCATGTTGCTCCATAAGATGAAAACAAAGGAAAAGGAGGGACCAAGGAATACCAAGGAGAAGCAGTTGAATCTAGAGGAAAGTCCAGAATCTTAGGAATTGGCCAGGAATCCAGGGCAACACAGTTAGAAGCCACGTGGACCTCAGGGACAGCCTCACTGATCACGTCTGGTTTCGGGGTGGGGGGGTGGTTTCTGTGCTGTGAGACTTTGCTTAGAGATACCGGGGGAGCGGCTTGTGGACTGAGTATCAAGGATATACGCGGCAAGCTCTCTCTTCAGCTCTGTCTGCCCAGAAAGTTTGATACTTGGGTTGGTTTTCAGAGGTGCCAGTGGAAGAATCAGAGCCACAAGCCAAGAATGTGTGTTTGTTTCTCGATCTCTGTCTCTAGCAGACCACATTGGTTGCTGTTTACTCAAGGAAAAAAAAATTTCCCAGTCCCCCCACTCCCAGCCTGCTCAACACACACCCTCCTGCCTCAGTTTCCTGGGACCTAAGAAATGACAGCAAAGATCAAAGCTGGGGCCCGGCACCACAGACGGAATGAGAAAGTTCATTTTTCTGGTTTTCCTCACACACGTTGGATATTGTAAAGGGTGTACATTTAGCCCAGGTCCTGCCTTCAGGGAACTTGGGGTAGTTACACATGTGGCATCTACATGGTATCCGAATTCTCCATGGCCATCCTCGCCACTTTTTTTTTTTTTTTTAAATCTTTGCAGATTTCTTTGCTCTTGCTGTCTTCATGTTGATGTTGGCCCCATTTTACACTGGGAACATGTAATAGTTTCCTATTGCTGCTATAACAAATTACCACAAACTTAGCCGTTTAGAAGAATACCAATATATTATAGTTCTGGAGGCCAGAAATCTAAAATGGGTTTCACAAGGTTAAAATCAGGGTTTGGGAGGCTCTAGGGGAGAATCCTGTTTCCTTGTCTTTTCCAGCCTCTGGAGGCTGCCCGTATTCCTTGGCCCTGCATCCATCTTCAAAGCCAGCAACCTCTGACAGTCCAGTGGTTAGGACTCGCCGCTTTCACTGAACCTGAGGACACAGGTTCAGTCTCTGGTCAGGGAACTAAGATCCCGGCACGTCACTCTGTGGCAGCCAAAATTTTTAAATTTAAAAATTAAAAAAAAAAATTTCTAAGCCAGCATCTTCTAATCTGATACCTGACACTCTTGCCTCCACCTCTGATTTGTAAGGAGCGGTCCTTAACCACATCTGCCAGGTCTCAGTTGCCATGTAAGATAGCATTCACCGGTCCTGGCGGCTAGGCTGTGGACCCCTCTGGACGAGGGGCATTATTCTGCCTACCCCAGCATATCCGGCCCCTCTTCCGCCTCTAAGGACTGCCTCCTTCTACCTTCCCTCTTCCATCCTCTCCGTACCCCACGCCTTCATGCAGGAGACCTGCCCCATTAGCTCCAGTGCCACTATCCAGTTCTCAGGGTGCCCACCCGACACCCATGATGTGTTGATAACTTCCCCCGACTTCACTCACAGTGGCCGCCTCCCAGTGCTGAGATCCGCCAGGAGCCGCTTTCCTCTTCTTGGCTTCTCCCCACCCCCTCACTAGCCCAGCCTCCCAATGGATCTCTCAAGGAGACATGCAAAGAGATACTGCTTTTTAATTACAAGTGCTATTGTAACATCTATAAGGAAGCACACTTTAAGCTTAATTGAGACCAAATGTGAAGTTAAATTAAATGAATAACTAATTAACGTAATGCTCGCGCATTAGCCCCGAGTGAGTGCCGAGGCCCAGAGAGGGGGCAGGTCCTGGGCCTCCAGGGACCGTCAGTGCCCAGAGCTGCAGAGAGGGGTTGCGGGGCAGGGATCCTGAGCCTGGGACCCAGGTGTGCAAGGACCGATGTCAGGGCCCGGGGCCCCGGACTCCTACCTACACCCAGCTTTCATTTCTGAGGCCGGCCCCGAGCTCCCACACGCCCTGTGCATCTCCCTAGCGCCACACTGAGCCGCCGGCACCAGAGAATGTCTGTTTATTTTCCAGCCCCTGGGCCTAACACATTTAGGGGCTTGGTACGCGTCCGTTTTCACTTCCTTCCTGTTCATTCTTCTTTCTGGATGGTCACATTTGTTCCTCCATTGCCACTAGGATTGCCCTCCTGCCAGCCCTGGCCCTTCAAGGCTGGACGAGTGGACGGTGAAGTCTCTCAACTTGAGTCACCCACCCTGGTGTTTTTTCTCCCATCGTTTAAACGTTTCCCTGTTCCCGTCTTATCCCCTAACTAACCCCTGAGGGCAGGGCGTGCATTGACACTGACTTGTCTCCCTGATTCATAGCGATCCTCTGAGGGAGGTAATGTCATCACTGTTTTCTAATGAGGAAAAGGCTCGAAGCCATCAGTGGTGAGGCTGAGAAGGGGACCTCCAGAGTGAGCGCCCAGGGAGGGACAACACCCTGCCAACACTGCCCCAGAAGTGGTGGGCGAGGGAGCCTGTCTCCCTGCAGGAAGCAGAAAGGGAGCCCAGGCACGGGCTCTACCGTGGGATGATGGCGCCATCTAGTGGCTTCCCTGAGTGCTGCTGGCAGGTAAACCTGATCTTTTTGTTTTATTTATTTTTGGCTGCGTTGGGTCTTTGTTGCTGCGCGCAGGCTTTCTCTAGTTGCGGTGAGCGAGGGGCTACTCTTCATTGCAGTGCGTGAGCTCTCTTGTTGTGGAGCACGGGCTCTAGGCACATGGGCTCAGTCGTGGCGCACAGGCTTAGTTGCTCCGTGGCATGTGGGATCTTCCCAGACCAGGGCTCGAACCCGCATCCCCTGCAATGGCAGTCGGATTCTTAAGCACTGTGCCACCAGGGAAGCCCCAGGTAAACCTGATCTTGAGAGACGCATTCTTGAACCTGAGCTGCAGCTCCGCCCTGGGGGCCTGAGGACTTAGACATCCCAACTGACTCCTGCTTTTAAAGCCAGAGTGGGTCTCAGGCACTTTGAGACTTGCTATTTGTCACCATTGGCGTGTGTATAACCTGTCTCAGCGTGGAGGGATTTGTATCCCGCCCATGAACTGCCCACAGGCTCGCCCGCGGGTCCCAGTGTCCTCACGACTGCGTCCTCTGGGCACGCCAGTTGTCAGCTCCCCAGCACACCACCCTGTGGCCCTGGGACGCTGCCCCAGCGGCCCACATGAGCCCTGACAGGACAAGCACAGGCACAGCTGGCGACATCTATATCGGGGCTTAATGGGCAGCTTCAGAAGGCAGACAGAAATGCCAAGCGCTGGCAGACCCAAGGGTTTGGGGCCAGCTGCAGGGGGCTGCGAGCTGCACACGTAACAGCTGCCTGAACGAAGCCAGCAGCACCCTCCCACCTTGCTAGTCATGTCACCCCCGTGCCTGTGCTTAGGGTGTCAGTCCTTTTTCTGTGTCCACTACCTACTCCATTCCTAGAGCACAGCTGGCAAACAGTGAGCACTCGGTAACCACTGGCATTTCATTATCAAAATATTTAATAATGTGACTGGTACTTTGGTCATGCCCTCCGCCCCACCCTTCCCCTACAGCAGCACTGCCCTGACAAGCCATCTTCCCTGGGGACACAGAGGGCTGGGATGAGAGCAGGCAAGGGGCCCTCACAGTCAGGAGTGACACCTCCCCTCTCTCCCTAGTCCTGCCCTGGAGGATACAGCAATAATGCTTTAATCAAAATGGGTCAGGAGTTAGAACCAGGATCAAATGAAGGGTAGATGGAGGAGTGCCAACGTGGGGAAACACACAGAGAAAACTGGCTTGTGGACAAAGGGACAAAGAGAGGCCGGGTGGCTCTGAAATAGCCACTTCCAGGTACAGGCTGATGACAGAGGTTCACGTTTAGCGTGAGAAGGAGAGACACGCTTTTCCAGGCCTCCGCCCTGCTGAACCTCTGCCTTCTGACTTGGAATCTGAACGAGCAGGAGTCTGAGCATATCCCTTCTTGTACCAAAACGCAGACACCGCTTAGCCCTGATCCCTTCCACTGGCGGCCTCCAGAGCTCAGGCCTTTATCGCTGTCGGTGCAACTGACGCCTTCAGGGCCTTTACAGTTCCTCCTCTCCTTCCACCCCCCTAGCCAGGACCGTATACTGTGTGGTAAATCACTTCTCTGTCATCAAGGGCTTTGTAGTTAATAGATATTGTTTAATAATCTTTAGGACCAGGCAGCCTCTATGCTCTGTTAGTCCCCAAACAATGATGAAAACCTCCCCTGACGTATTCCCGGCAGCCACGAGACTAGTTACCCATTCATAAATCTGAAGAATGCATGTCCTGTTTCCCAGTACCCGCCCCCCTGCCCCAGGTTAACTATAAAACTGTCCTGACGGCCCCCAGGTGGTGTGGAGCGCTCCCAGACTGCCGTCCACCTGAGCCCGAGCCCCAACCCACCCCGTAAGTGACCCTATACTAAACTGGTCTTGATCGCATGAAGCTGCCCCCTCATTTCTTGGTCTCAAGGTGCCTTAGTTCAGTGGGCACTTTGCGTCCCCTCCGTCCTCCAACAAGGCCCTTGAGTCTTCCGTGGCCTCAAGCTTGGTGGTCCCCTTCCGGTGGAGAGTCTCCTAGCCCGTGGAAGCCTCGTGGGCTGCGCTGGCTGGTGCTGGGCCCGGAGGCTTTGCCTCGGCCTCCTGGGGGGGTGCACTGTGGGACCCGGCGAGGGCCCTCCAAGTTTCTGCTGCGATCGGGTCCTCACATTTCTCTATACCTGCGTGAGGAGCAGAGAGGCAATGGGAGAGAAAGTGAGGACGTCCCCAACGGTGGGGACGGGGAAGGCAGGTCCCGAGGGTCCCTTAATAATTGCCTTTCATCCCGTTCGCTATCATTAGGGCTCCTGTCACCTCTTCAGCAAGCAGGGAACACCAAGCCAGAATAAGGTGAAAAGCCTTACAATGCCTGTACCGCGTCTGACCACTCTGCAAAGCAGTACCGCATACCCAGCTTGTCGCAGCCTGAGATCAGCCCTACCGGGTAGTTAGAAACGAGCATCCCCATTTGACACACAAGGACGCGGACATTCAGAGAAGGTGCCCGAGGCTCTACAGAAGCAGGTGAGCAGAGAAGTCAGGATGGTCCAGCATTTCTGGTTTCAAGCCCCAGGCTCCCTCTGCCCAAGCAGGTGACTCTGCTTCTCCCACACAGGCCTTCCTCAGAGAAGGACCCGCTGAGGATGCAGAGAGAAGCCAAGCCCGCACACCTGGGGTCAAACTCAGGCTCTGCTGGGACTAGCTAAAGGCCTGAGGTACGCTCCATGAGCTCCGAGCGTCTGTTCTCTCACCTCTAAGTGAGAACATCTACCTCTCAAGGCTGCCGAGAGGGAAGCCAGTACAGCTCACGCCCAGAGCAGACGCTTACTACGCACTAATTCTTTTCCCTTTCTGCATCACTTCCTCTCCTCCCAACGTCCCCCCGGGCCTGGCCGGGGGACAGCAGGTGGAGGGGGCACTGGTCACGTGAGGTGCCATCCACTGCTCCCCCTCCAGGGCAGGGCAGGGCACAGACTCTGTTAATGCCTCCTGCCCTGCATTCTTCTCCCCCTGAACCCGGACGATGCCTTCCTCAAAGGGAAGCTCTTCCCCGGATACAGTGCTGGTTACCATGACCCCCGTGGGCTCTTCCTCACATTTACCATCCAGACCAGGTCCATCGCTCCGGCAGCTTCTCATTAGCAAGAGCTTCCTAAGGAGAGCCAGAAAGGCCACGAGAGAACATTGCCATCCCAGCGCCAGCCGCGCAGCCCAGCCTCTAGCGCCCTGCCTCAGCCGCGGGCCTATCTGCGCGGCCTCCACGCCCGCCACCGCTGGGCGACAGGCAGAGAGCACAGCAGGCCGGCTTTGGGTTTTGCTCCAGAGGCTTTGCTTGGTAGCTGCCTTTGTCTGCACACCCCAGGCAGAGGGGCCAGGTGCCCTTGGTTTCTGAACTTCAGAGTCCAAGTTCAGAGGGAAAACGATTTCCCTGGATGCTGCCCCCTCTGTCCTGGGGTCTACGTCCAAAGCCCTATCGCTCTCCCTAAGGAGGAGAGGCTGCCAACCTTCGCAGCAGCTCCGGCCCCTTAGGAAACACTTCCCAAGCACCACACTCCGTCCAGACTCAGAGTCTTTGGAACTGGCCCCCAAGGAAAAAGCGAAAGTCAGAAAAATCGCACTGGAGGAGAGAGGCTTTGCATGCACACTAAGGGCACAGGAGTTACAGACTCGAAGAAAATACTCACAAAAGTCACGGGACTTGAGGAAAATACTACCGCGCGTGGGTTAGGGCCACACTAGAGCTATGGAGACACATGGGGATAACAGAGGACAGGTTAGTGGGGCTGGGGGCCAGGCAGGGGTTCCCGGAGCACGTTCAGCTCCCGGCTCCGAGTTCCTGAGGTCTGGGCTGGAGCGAGGCTCAGACTGGTGCAGAGCAGCTGAGCGCCGGATTTGACTCCCACGAGAAGTGAGGCCGGTCAGGCGGGGCTCCGGCCCTCCCTCCGCAGGACTTACCCTCTGTCTCTACTCAGGGATGACCGCCAGCCCAGGATCTCTTTGTACACCAACCGGCAGAGGAGCTGAGGGGAGGGAGGGCGACCTCAGCGTGCAGCACGTGGCTGGTCCCCAGCGCTAGGTGACCGCTCGGCTGGCTCACAGCGTCACTCCGCAGGGGTTCACCCACGGGACGCAGAGTGGTTCCGAGCAAAGCCCTGGATGGCCGACACTTTGGACCACTTTGGACACTTCGGAACTTTCCAGGGTCCCAGCCCCGCAGGACAGGGCCCCTCCCCATACCCATCTGTGCACCCCAAAGCTCTTACCAAGCAAGCCAGGATGTCGGCAGTGATGAGCATGTAGAAGACGTTGTTCCAGCCTGTGGGGGAAATGAGCCCGGCCAGCAGAGGCCCCAGAGCCGCACCTGTGTGGAGCACAGCATGAGAAGGGCCCTGCACCAGGGACCCTGGCCTCCCTGCCCGCAAGAGGGCAGCATCCCAAGAGTGCGCCTGAGACCAGGCTTGGGGCGAGAGTCACAGACCTATGGATCCAGTGCCGTCGATGATGGCCGTGACGGTGGAGAGCGCCTTTGCGTTGCCCTTCAGGCTCTTGTGAGTCCCCTGGGGAGAGAGCAGAGTGGGGAGGCCTGAACCGAGAGGCGGTACCGAGCAGGACCGGGACCGGGACCAGGAGAGGGACTGGCTCAGGGAAAGGCAGCGAGGGGGGCTTGGAGCTGGGAAGAAAGGGGGGCCGATGGCGGATTCTGAAGGACTTTGAGGATCTCGTCTCTGCGGGCGGGGGGAGGGGGAGAGACGTGAAGATGGGCCTGGAGACAGAGGCCCTGGCCAATCCCCGAGGTGGCTCCGCTTACCAGGTCAGCCGAGACGGCAGTGGTGATGAGGGCATAAGGGCCGTTGACCAGGGCTCCACAGGTGAGCAGCATTACTGACGTGGTGATGGAGACGGCCCAGTTAGAGAGGAGAGGCCACCGCCACCCCCAGCCCCAAAGCGGGTGAGTCCCCCAGGCGTCAGGCTGAGAACCTCCACTTCCCCGAGCCTTCCACCCACGTCCCCAAGCCAGCCTCGCGGTGTCTCCACGGCAGCGCCAGCTCCTCACCTATGGAGATGCTGATCCCACTCTGGCCAACGTAGTTGTACAGGAACATCTGAGAGAGGAGAAGGCGGAAGACAGGATCACAGCCTGGCTTCCCCACGGGCTGCCTCTGTTAGACTGGAGCCCGGAAGTCTGGGAACCCCAGGGGTCCCCTTTCTCCTTTGCCTTCTCATACCCAGGCCTCTCGGTCTTCCGGTCCCAGGGATGCAGGGTCTAATATGTGGTAATCTATCATTTCCCTTTGCCCCCAAAGTCTCCTCTCATATCGAACCTCAATCACTTATTCTTTCCTTGGTCAAGAAGCTCAGCAGCTGGCCTGCCCCTTCTCGCCAAGGCCACATAACCACAAATCCCTTTCCAAAATCCTGTCTGGATCTCTGTCCTGTGCTGACCCTGGCTTCTCCTCCCCTGGCCGCGCACAGGGATGTACCCACGCAAAGAGACGGGTGTGTGCATGATGCCCAGGCGTGCACAGGGTTCAGCGGCCCACGACACACACACACTTTGCCCTTGAGGTTCTACGCACCGTGGGGGCAGCCAAGATCAGCATGACGCAACAGGTGGTGGCCCTGCCGTTGGTGTAGTCAGAGATGAGCCCCGCCAGGATGCCGCCTGGAACACAACGTGCACACTGCCGCCCCAGGCATGTGGGACCCCGAGCACTGCCCCATCACTCAGCCCAGCACGAACCGGGGCCGGGCACCCAGAGCCAGCTGAGTGTCTCCCTCCGCAGCCTTCCCCGCACCCACTGCTCACGGGAAGACCACCTGGGCAGGATGCCACCTGCCTAGGTCACATCCCACTGGACCCGTCCCATTTTTCTGCACCCTGACAAGAGAAGAGGGGGATGCAGCCTAGAGGCAGAGCAGGGCATGGCCTCACCTGCGATGCCACCAACATCGAAGAGCGTGGACAGGTCCCCAGACTCCTTGGCAGTAAAGTGAACTGTGGAAAACAAAAGCATGTGTTCAGACCTGGGGGCTCCGGGCAGACATCCTGGAGGGCCACCGCTGGGAGCGTCCCTGCAGACACCTGGTCCAGTATCACCTTCAGAGGAAGGAGTGGGGCCCATGGAGAAGTGACTGGCCAAGGTCACAAGCGAGTCTGCAGCAGTTTGGGACCAGATGCCCTTTCCGGCCCCTAGTCCTGTCGGATGGCCTTGACCTCCCGGAAAAGCCCTTCTATGAAAGCACTGGGATCTGGCCCCTGAGGACCCTGTCCCACTGGGGGTACAACTGCTCTCACTGAGCCTCAGCCTGTCCAGCCCCATTCCTCCCTCCCCCTGACCGAGCGGTTGGTCCCCATAGAAGCTTGTCACCTCCATTTGAGGTCCCTGCTTATAAACAGAGCCAGGAAGGAGGCTTGCGGGAAAATGGGGACCTCAAGTCCCAGACCTCGCCCTAGAATTAGAAAAAGGGACGCCCAGAAGCTTGACTCGTAGCCCAGCCCTCAAGGTTGACTCACACTCTGTAGCCAGCATCAAGGCCACAGAACAGAGTCAGCGACCGCAGGGTTGCCCCGATGCTCTACCCCCGTCGTCGAGAGAGGCCCCTCAGATGGAGCCGGCGGGGGGGCTGGGGGGGTGAGTTACAGCTTGAGACCTGGCCCTGACTCATCCCCACCGCATCCTGTTCGGTGCGAGGATGCTGTGTGGAGAGCAGCCTCGTCCCTCCCACGGGGCCTGGAGGGAGCCCGGCAGCCCTGGCTGAGTGGTCCTTGGCCCTGGTGGGGCTCTGAGGCTCCGAGGCTCTGGGGGCAGAACTGCTCCCTGACAGAGTAGCTCCACGTGTGGAAAACCAGAGATCCAGGACAGGGGAACATAAACATCCTTTTCAACCGCAAGAGTGACCTCTCCTCATCTGTCCCTCCTCGGGCAGGGGCAGAGGCAGGGGAGAGGAGGGCCACAAGGTGGGCAGCCCAGCAGACCCACGCACAGGGCATCAATCCCCCGAGGCTCCCGGCAGCCCTCCTTGGAAGAGAACAGCATTTACTGCCAGGCTACAGGCAGTGGGGGTAGCTCCTCAGGCCCTCTTCCTTGGGCTGGGGGAGGCTTAAGGGGCTCCTGGAGGCGCTCAAAAGGCAGACCGTTTCCAGCACCCTCCAGTCCCGCCCACCTATGAGCCAAGCAGCCTGGAGGGGGGCTTCTCCTATGCCTGAGGCTGGAGCAGTTAGGAAGGATTGCAGAACAGAGCTCTGAGTTCCTAACCCCGACTCAGCACCAAGGGAGGAAGAGTGGCTGGAATCAGGGACTGGATGGGGGGCGGGGGTGCATCTGCAAGGTTTAGCTCCCCATTAAAGAAAAAAACTTTCCCTCCTGCCCTAGGAGAGGTTCAGCAGAAATCTTGCCTATTCCTGGAGTCGTACGCGTCACGTGACAGGTTTCCTCCTCAGAGACCCCTCCGTTCCTCACCTCTTCTTCCCCAGGTACTCACCCACATTGAAGATGTAGAGGGGCAGCCAGTAGAGGAAGGTGTAACTGACCAGCTTGGCAAACAGCAGACACAAGGAGAACTCGACCACACCCTGGGGAGCGTAACAGAGGGCGCGATGGAAACAGGGGCAAGAGGCCCTTGGTCCGTCAGCGGAGCCCCAACCCAGCACTTTCCACCGCCCACTGCACAAAGCAGCCTCGAGGACCTCTCCAGCCTCAGTAACAGCAGTGTACCTGTGGCCTGGATATGCTGTGTCAGGACAAGTCTCCCGTGTTCCCCTCCCCAAGTGGGCCGCCCTCCCTAGGCACTGCATGTAAAGAAATTCTGGAAACCACAGGTCACCCTGAGCATCCCCATCTCCTGAGACCCAGCAAAAAAATCTAGAGAGCCTCTCTCCTCCTTCCAGTCCACAAAAGACTCACCGGGATCCAGAGCGCCCCAAAAAAGCTGATGGCAGCAGGCTGAGCACTTGGCTCCTTGGACAAGGTGACAGCAGACTCCCGGCCGTTCCCTCTGTTAGAGTGGGGTCCATTGCCAGGGTCCTCAGCGTTGTCCCCGTTCTCTTCCAGCTCACCCTGAGCAGAGAAGAGCCCTTGCTGTGGGCGCGTCCACGTACCACCTCCCACCAGCTGGAGGGACAGCCCATGTGAGAGGTAGGGGCTCCCACGCTGGAAGAGGTATGTGTCCCCTTCCTGGACTGGACTAACATCCTGCCAGGCCCGTCAGGCTGTCGGGGAGCCCCCCAAGGGCGTGACTTTGGCCCTCACCCAAGGGCCTGTGAAGTAACTGTGGGCACACGGGCCCCTCCTCCAACTCCCCAGGCCTCCCTGGGACCAGCCCCCGGGTGGAGTGGAGGGCAGGGATAGGACTGGGGGCCACACTCACATGGTGCTGAGGGGGTGAGCAGTCCACGTCCTCTGGGTCTGAAAGAAAAATCTTCTAAGAAGCTTCCCAGCAGGCCAGGCCCTCACCTTGCATGGCATGTGGTCCCCACCCCTCCTCAAAGGGGGTGAGTTGACTTTCCAGCACAAGGGAGCATGGAACCGGGGCTCCAGAGACCACCTTCGAGGTCTGGGTCTCCTAACAATAAGTTGTGTCACTACTGCCTCGTGGACTTTCGTTCTCTTGCTACAAGTGACCATGGCCCTGACTCCCTGGCCCGTCTGTCAGGGAGCTGGGAAGAGGCAGCAAAGGTGGAGAGGTCCCCCCAACCTTTCCCTCCTCAGTCTCACGTCTCATGGAAACGCTCAACAGCCCAGGGAAGCAGGCGTTGTTATACTTCTGTCACACATGAGAAAACTGAGGCTCAGAGAGGTTGTCTGTCCCAAGTCACACATCTGTGGCTCTGACCCCATGATCCCACGCTACCCACTGCCTTCTCCCAGGGCCTGACCGGGAGGCTCGGCTCCGGCCCTGTGAGGAGGGAGGGCTCCACTCACATTCAATTAAGAAGAAGAAGGTGACGAGGCCCATGACGGCAGTGATGATGCCGGGCACCACAAAGGACAGGCCCCACTGCTCATCCACCCAGACGCCGGCGATCAGGGAGCCCAGGATGTTGCCCACGGATGTGTGGGAATTCCAGATGCCCATGATGAGCCCCCGCCTGGAGGGGAGGGAGGGAGGGAGGGAGAGAAGAACGGGAAAAGTGAGAAGAGAAGCACAGGGCTCCTGGCGACCGCCGACCAAGTGCAAAAAGCTGGCTGCCTGCAGCCTCTGAGCTGAAGACCCCCCTCAGGGAGGAGCGGGAGGGTTTGCTGGTGTCAAGGGAGTGACAGCAAGGCCGGGGGTCCCGCTCCCCAGCCGCTCCCTGAGCAAGCGCTCTCTGGCTCCTTGCTGCCCCAGGGCCCAGAGCCCCAGCCCTTTCTTCTCTTGCCCTAAGGCCGTGACTCTGAAGTCCTCAACCAGGGGTGACTCTGCCCCCAGGGAACACGGGCACCGTCTGGAGAGTTGCGACGTCCCAGCTGTGGGTGCGCTAGTGGCATCTAGGGGTAGAGGCTGCTGAACACCCTACACTGTGTAGGACGGTCCCACAACAAAGAATTATCCAGCCCCATATGTCAATAGTGCCAGGGTTGAGAAACCCTGCCCTAAAGAAACTTTTGCACAAAAGCCAGTTCAAGGAAAAAGAAAAAAAAAAAATATATATATATATATATATAAAAATATATACAAACACATATATATGTGTGTGTGTGTATACAAACACAGTTTTATAGGCTTCATTTTTGTCTTCACGCAAAATGGAAATTCATCTATTAAGAGGAAAAAAGCATAACTGAGGTTGCAGGTTTTAAGGATCAAAACCTTAGCAATGAGAAAATCAGTACTGCTTTTAGTCACTAAAACATGTGTATCTCGGCCTGTGAAAGTCAGCAAGATGGAGGCAAGTTTCTAATCTTTGACCCTGAAATCACATCAGGGGCCACGAGGGACCCAGCAGCCCGGCCCCCCAGGCACCGCCCACCCTCCTGTCCCATCACACTCACTTCCCCTTCCCGAACCAGTTGCCCACACAGGTCACCACGGAGGGCCAGCCCGTGGTCTGGACGAGTCCGTTGCAGATCTGCAGAGAGGGAGGAGAGAGGCGGGACAGGCCTGGGCTGAGCGGTGCAGCCTCTGGGACGGGGGCCCCTCCGCAGCGCACACTATGCACCCCCTTCCTTCACCTGCGTGCACGCACCCCGTAACCCACCAGCTGATTTCTCCTGTGGCCCCAGATCCCCACGGCAGAGACCAGGCCTCGCAGGCACCTCCACGGACCTCAGGGTAACGCTCAGCGCAAACTCACTGAGCCCACGAGGGTGACCACAGGCAATGGGCAATGGGACCCCGCATCGTGATAAAGGAGCACAGGGCTGGATGCGCCGGGACCTGGGGTGGCTGGGAAGGACCTGCAGCCTCTACTATCTTTCTGTGCCGGGAACAGAGGCCTGAGTGCAAGGCCAAGGCTCGTACCTGGATAAGAACAAAGTACCAGAGCGCGTGGATGTTCCAGAAATACCCCAGGCCAAAGAGCGAGGTGAAAAGGCCGCTGAGCAGCATTCCGGCTGTAAGGTAGTAACGGAGGGGGAGCCGCTCCCCAAAAATGCCACTGCAGAAGAGAGGGTTGGATCCATGGTAATCTCTGCTACCTGCGCCCTTCGGCTCTCTACCTCCTATCTCTCCGCCCCCCCACCCCAAAGCCACTGAAACGACTCTGCTAAGGTGATCACCAGTGACCTCTGTGTTGCCACACGCCAGGGACACCCTCGGTCCTCCACTCGCTGGGCTCCTCCGCTTTATTTGACGCTGCTGACCAAGCGCCTTGAAGTGCGCTCTCCGTGGCCTCTGTGAGGTCACCGCGGCCCACCTGCCTCCCCCCTTGGCTGACCAGCGCTCCTCATGCATTTTCTCTTGCATCACTTTTATGGTTTTAACTACCAGCTACATATACGTTACAAAGCCCAGCTGCATAGCTACAGCCCTGAACTCTCCCCCAGAGCGTCACGATCATATCCAGATGCCTTCCAGACATCTTGACTGGGATGCTCCACAATCAGGACTCCTCTGCCTCTGCCCCCCACCCTGCCCCGTGTCCTGTGCCCCTCATCTGAGTGGATGTCGCCACCACGTTTGGCCACTCAAGCCAGAAACCACGGGGCTACCTCAGTTTCCTGCCTCTCCGCCCCACCCTTCGCAAGCAACCTCCAAGACCTGTACCTTTTACTTACATCTCTCCAGTGCAGCGTTACTCTTTCATCTCTATTACTATTGTTCTCAGGCGTTGCTCAATGCTCAGCTGAGCTATTATCAGATCTGTTCCTTAGTGTGACGTGGTACTCAGTCCTACTCTCCCTCAAATCTACCTTCCGTCACCCTCACAGCGATCTGTCTGACGTGTTAATCTGAACATGCCACCCTTCAGAGGTTCTCCTGTGCCCACGGCCTGGTACACAATGACCTCATTCTTCAGCCCCATCTCCTGCATTTTACACTCTGGTAAACCTGTTACTTGTCCCCCCAGATCGTGCTGTTTCACACTCGCCTTACTCTGCCCATGCCATTCCCTCCACCTAGCCATTTCTGCATTGCCAAGCCCAATTCTTCTTCATTAGTTCAAGTGTCATCTCCTCCAAGAAGCCTTCCCCAACCCCTCTTCTCTAATGCCAGCTCACATTAAGTGACCCCTCGGAGCCCCCAGGGCACCCCGTGTGAAGCACCTGTCTGGGAGCCACCACTCCCACACTGCTCTATAACTAGCTGCTGTTATCGGTCACTCCACTAGACCGTGAGCTCTCTGGAGGTGGTACCCTGCCTCAGTCATCTTTGATTCCTGGGAACAAACATCATGCTTGCTACATAAAAGCCGTGCTGGGGTCTTCCTAGCATCCAGGGCTATCCTTGAAGGACAAACCATTTTCCAGCCACACCACTGACACTGCCATCTGAGTGAATAAACTCAAAAGGACATCCAGGAAAGCCTTTCCAGGGAAAAGAGCTACTAAAAGTGGGAGCTGGCCAGGTGAAGGAGCAGGCTCGGTAACCGTGGGAGCATGCTGGCTACGGGCTGACAGGACGTGTGCAAGTCTTGTCGTCTCATTTCCACCTGGGGGGGGTCCCCAGCTTTTTCCCTTTGACCCTGCTGCCCCCAGGTCGGCCAAGGGGAGAGGCAGCTCTGAACGGTTCTGCTGCGGGCAGTCACAGGCTCCGCCTCTCTCTTACCTGATAAACATGCCGATGGCATAGGCCACGAGGAAGGCGTTGTCCACTGCCCCCAGGAGTTCCTTGTAGTTGCTCTGGTCTGAAAGCCGATGGGAGAGGCAGAATGCTGGCTGGCTGCTTGGACACCCCTGCAGGAAGCCCTTTCTGGCCCCGGCTGACCCTCTCCTGGGTAGGGGGAGTGGGCTGTGGGGAAGAACAGCTTGCCCCGCTCTTACCAAACGGGGCCCAGTTGCACCACGTGGTGTCGTTGAGCCTGTGGGTGTCGCCGATGGGCTGGATCATCTCTGAGCAGTTGTGGTGCAGACGGCTCTGGAGGAGTCACGGGTGCACAGGTCAGGGGCATCCTGTGGCCCCGAAAGGAGCAAGCAGCCTCCAACACACCAGCCCCTCGACCGGACCCCACGCTCCCTCCTCCGGCAAAAACTGGCTCCAGGGGCAAGTGGCCACAGCAGAGCCTCGGTGAAGGGCAACGGGGGTCGATGCGCAGGGTAGACACGGGGCCCAGGGTGTCTGCTCTCTGGCTCCACCCGCAGCCCCCGACACCACCGTCTTGGTGAATAAACCCAGGAAACTCTCCTGGGAAAAGAGAACTGCTGAAAGTGGGACTCTGCCAGGGGGAAGGAGCGGGCTCAGTGACCAAGGTAAGGGAACAAGGATGGTTATACGCCAAGTTCCAGACCATTCTACGGAAGTGTATTTCCGCTGGGGCCCAGCATCTCCTGCTTTCTTCCTTACGCCCAGGCCAGCCTCACCTTGACGACACTGATGGGCTTCCTGGACATGTGATAACAGGTGTAGATGAGGAAAGTGATCAGCAGGATGAAGCCGCGGTACCTGCAGGGAGAGGTGGGCAGCTGGGCTGGCAGGGCACTCGGACCTCCGCCTCTACTGTGTCCAGGAAGCATGCACCTGTGCCCATTCTAGCAGCCTCAGAGCCCCAGCACCGCCAACTCTTCTACATCAGGCTCCCCTCCAGACACAAGTTCCTCAGGGCAGAGGCCAAGGGGAGGGTAGGAACAGACGCCAGAGGCCAGAGTGCTCCGGGGGGCCCCAAGTCCCTGCTCCTGCTACCGAGGCCTCCCGACAGAGCTAGCCCAGCATCAGCGCCCTAGACAACACCAAAGTACCCCCTCCTGCTCTTACCACTGCCCATCACCTCTGCTTCTCTCTGGCCTCACTAAGATCGGGGTGCCTCTGTGTGTGTGAGAGATGGGGGCAGGGAGACAGAATTGTATTTAAAATACTGGACATGCTGGGAGCCAGCAGGAGGCTGATGTGGGAGAAGGGTCTGTCTTTAAAGTGAGGTCGGGACTTTCCTGGTGGCGCAGTGGTTAAGAATCCGCCTGTCAACGCAGGGGACACGGGTTCGAGCCCTGGTCCGGGAAGATCTCACATGCCGCAGAGCAACTAAGCCCATGCGCCACAACTACTGAGCCTGCGCTCTAGAGCCCGTGAGCCACAACTACTGAAGCCTGCGTGCCTAGAGCCCGTGCTCCACAACAAGAGAAGCCACCGCAATGAGAAGCTCGCACGCTACAACAAAGAGCAGCCCCTGCTCGCCGCAACTAGAGAAAGCCCGCGCGCAGCAAAGAAGACCCAATGCAGCCAAAAATAAATTAATTAATTTTAAAAATAAATAAATGAAATAAAGTGAAGTCGACTATGCTCTCAAGCCTAGAACACGGCAGAAACAGCACCTGCTGCAGCCCAGTAGGGGCGGAGCCCAAAACCTAGCTGGAAATGTGGCAACAGAGGGAAAGCTGGTGACAGAACCCAGGTCCTCTGCCCTAGTCCGTTCCACTGGACAGAGGGGTCATCCTTTCCATCTGCGGCTCACACATCACATGGGCCCTCTCATACAGTGCTTCTCATCCCATGCGCCGGTCTGGGGCGGAAAGAACAGTTCAGCCAGGCCCCACCGAAGTTTCCGCTGTGCGCTCCCCCTTCCCCTTCTGCCGAGGCTCTGAGGAAGGGCTTCCAGGTCCTCCTGAGTCACGGCATCAGCTGAGACGAGTCAGCAGCCGGGAGCCAGGAAGTACATGGAAAATAGACCTCAGCACGGACTCCAGCCCAGGAGAAAGACCAGAGCCTTGGTTTCTTAAAGAGCCCACGGAGAAGGTGGGGAAGAAGGGGAAGGGGGCCTGAAACCCTTTCTATCTCTGGATCCACGAACCAAAGGGCCAGGACGCTGGAGGCTCAGTCTGCCCTCTCCAGGGATCTGCCTCCAAACCCCAATCCCTTCCTCCCAAGCATGTCGTGAAGGCTCCTGCTCGTGAGATGAAGGGGTGTTTCAGCAGAGGCTGCATTCAGGCCGGGCTACCGGGGCCCTTCACCCCTGGACTCGTTCTCTGCCTCGTTCCCTCCACTGCCTCACAGTTTATCTTCTGAAGAGACTGAAGGTACATGTGCCCCCGCCGTCACCTGGCTTAACGTTTCTCGGTGGCTCTCCGTTCCACTAAGAACGAAGCTCTCTCTAGCTTGAATCTTACGGTCTCTTTACCGCCCAGCCTCTCTGGCTCCCCATTGCCGAGGGTGCATGGCTCGGGGGGAGTCACCAGGGGTTCTCCGGGGAATCTGGGGTTACTCCAAGGGACTGTCACAGTGACCCTGTGACATACACAAGCTTGGTGGCAGCAATGTTTTCCACTTGGCAAATGGCTCATGTGACTCCTACCTCAGGAACTTGCAGAATCTGGTGGCAGGGTTGGGGGTGTCTCTGAGAGAACTGGAGAGGCTGCCCAGTGAGGCTTCTTCAAAGTGCACAAGATGGAAGAAAATCACAGCCCTACAGATAACACTCACCAGTGTCCTGCCCGGGGAGCTGCTGAGTCCGGAAAAAAGCTGAAAGCTTTGAGGGATGACTCTAATTTACTGTGTAACCAAATGAAAGTTCCTAAGCCTTTTTTGCCTCCGGTTTCCTCATCAGATGCCCACGGAGGACAGTGCCAACCACATCCAGCTCAAAGACCAGGGAACACAATGTAACTCTCACCCTAGTCCCTACGTGTCTGTTGGGCCACCTTTACGACCCCCGGGATCAGTTGAGTCTATCTCGGCTGCCACCTGGATACAGCCGTTGACCCTGGTGACAGATGAGATCTCCTCTGGGCCTGAAGGATCCCCAGGCCCCACTGAGCGCCCCCAGCACTGACTGTCCTTCCTTGACAGGCCAGGCAGGGAGGCCCAGGCTGCAACTCAGCCATGCCGAGCCCACGCAGGAGATGCTCAGACACAACGAGGGATCGAAAGGCACAGCCCCGCTGGCAGCCACCTCGCTCCTCCCTCGCTCCTCCCACCACAACACTGCTTCAGCCCCAAGTGCCAACACCTGCCCACCTCAGGTCACCTGCCCTGGCTTTCTCCAGCCTGTGGTCCCCGGTGTGCTTCCTTATCTGCCTTCTGGAGTCCTGTCCCTCCCAACCTTGCGTGGCAGAAGCTAAGACAGGACAGCAGGCACACCCAGGCCCATTTCTGACATCTCGATTCTCTCTGGCAGAAACAGGACTGCCTTCCCATCCACATCCTGCCATGTGCCAGGCACTGTGCTAGGGATCCAGAGAAGCTGTAAGAGAGACCTCTGCCCTCCAGGGGCTCGCAGGTCAGCAGGGAGACAAACAGAATTGGTGCGACAGTGCCATAAAAGAGGGCAGCCCTGCATGACACGGAAGCAGGGACGCCGAGACCAGCTGGGATGGGAGCAGTGTCAGGAAAGGATTCAGGAGGTAAGGCTTCAGCCGCATCTTCACAAACAAGCAGGAGGTGGCCAGGTCCACCAGGGCTGGGGTGGGAAGCGGCGCCAGGGAGAGGGAAGTACGTGTGCCAAAGTGCAGAGGCGTGAACAGCAATGATATCTGTCTGGGGAACGCTATGTAGCCAGAGGTCTGGAAGGTGGGACTGGGCCAAGCATGGAAGGTGAAGGAGTGGGGAAGGAGGGAGCGGACAGGTCATGGAGGGCCTAGGGTGAGTTTCGACTGTCCTTGGGGTGATGGGGAGTCACTGAAGAGGGGTGGGATTTTCTAGGTCGGAGGGTTCCGGACACCTCCCAGGCTAAGCTCTGCCCTGCTGATTAGTTTGGGAAGCTCCAGACAAGCTTCCTCGCAGAAGGTAGGGCTGGTTCCCTCTGCCTCATCCACACTGCCAGCCACCCTCTAGGGAGACCCTCGGTGGTGCATCTCAGGGAGCTGGTGTCTGTAAGTGAAAAGAGCAAGGACTTAGGAATCAGGCGAAACCTGATTTCATTCCTTACACCTGTTAGCGGTCTGCAAAGTAGTGTTTATCACCTTTCTCATAGGGCTATTGACAGGTTGATGAGACGATGCACAGGACAGCTCTTACATGTTCCTCACACCCAGTGGACACTTAAAAATGACAGCCACTACGATTTCAGATTTTGAGGAAGGAAAGCTGGAGGGGGCGGAGGCAGCCCGTGCTGCTCTGTTACGGGAGGTGAGCAGGGTGTGGGTTAGCACCAAACTCCTCTGAGCAGTGGTGGTTCCAGGCCCTGGATTTGCCTGTAAGGTAGGGAGTTGGAGGCCAGCATGGCCACGCCTCCCACATGCCTAGTACACAGAGGTGGGCTAGAGGAACACGAAGATGCCCCGAAGCTACCAGTGCGCATGCGGGAGCCTGCCACGGGGAGAGAGCAGAGGCTGGTCCACTGGGCCCACCCATGTTCTCCCTTGGGAGTAGACAGGGAGACTTAGCAGAGATCCACAGTCATGCAGATCTGCCAGGTTCCAGCCCTGTCCAGAAGCTCGGCCTGACCTTTCTCTCAGCTCTGACCCCATCCCTCAGTAGAAAACCTGACACCCAAGATAGCAGGAGAGTCACAGGGAGGGAGGCGGTGGGGCAGAAGGACCTCAACCTGCTGTGCGATGCTAGGATGGGCACTGGCCTCCTCTGGGACTCCCTGCCTGGACCGCAGCACCATGGCGGCATGAGCCCAGAGGGGCACAGCTAGCTGGGCAGAGCATACCCGGGGCCTCCCCTTAGTCAAGTCCTCTTTCCTTTCCACTCTGGCAGCTCTTCTGAGAAAAAGGCCAAGGTGCCATAGTTCAAAGGGGACTGGGGACATGGGTCCGGTGAAGGGCTGGGCTGACACAAAGGCTGTCGAACTCACAGTAGCTCACAGGGAAGATAGCTGATGTGCTCCTGCTGCCTGTAGAACCCGCAAGTTTCACTTCTGCTTTCACAAACCCTTCTTGCAGAAACAAGAGGCCCCAGAAAGGGAGCAGGGCGGAAAATACACAGTTGGGCTTCGCCTGGCTTGCCCCAGAGGGGGAGGGATGGCAGCCCAGGTGTTGGCCAGGCTGGGCAAGCAGGCCAGAGACCCAGGAACGTGCGTGGCGAGGCCCACAGACTGTTCCGGGCAGGGTGCCCACCCCATGACCCTCTAAGTCTGTGTTAGCGAGAGATGGCACTTTGAGAGTCTCACCTCCCCCTGCACGGCACTGGTTACTGAGTAACCAAGTCAGATAGAGAGGTGGACTAGCTATCTCTTAACTATTAGCTGACAGTCCAACTTATTCTTCCAAATGAGCACGCTAATAGCTTTATGGACCTCATTAAGACTCTGCACTAGAAACGCTTCTCAGGTTAGGGGCAAAGAACAACGACTGCCAAAGTAGCAACAGATGACAAACAGAACCCCCAAAGGACCTTCTACCACCACCATCACAACAACAGAAAACAAGAAGTAGCCCAGCAGAAGAATGCTGACCTCAGGAGACAGTGGGAAGAGGTGCCTTCTCTCCAGTGTCTGCCCAGTCAGCCCCCGGTCCCTGCACCCCGCTCCCTGCTTTGCAACCACATTGCTGACGGTGCTGATGGCTCCTATCCCCATGGCAGGCCGACAGGGAATTAAACTCCCTCATTGACCAATCCCTACCACTTCCTGCCTCAGCCCAGTCCTTAAGCCAAGTCTGGGGCAGCTGGTAGATGTCTGGGGTAGCTAGTAGATGCCTGGGGCAGCTAGTAGATGTCTGGGGCAGCTAGTAGATGTCTGGGGCTACTCAGGTGGGGGCAGACTGGACTGGCTGTAGCTGCAGGTGACCTTGACACTTGCCCGGAGGAAAGTACCACTTGGTGGCCTGTCCTTGGACGTGCCTGTCCTGGGACTCAGCAGATCTGAAAAGGAGAGAGGGCTGGGGACAGTAAGAACCAGGCTGCTGGTGACAGTGCCATCACCCGGCCCCCTGCCAAGCCCTCCGCTGCCCCTGGGACACCCTGGTAGGGAAAGGTCAGCCTGGAACAGACAGCACAGGGCAGAGCCCTGAGCCAGGCCTTCCACTGACAAGATGGGACGGGGACAGGCCAGGTCTGGGAGGGCCTCTGAGAACAGAGGAACAGAGCCCTCTCGGGGCTGAGACCCAGCCCAAGGACTCCTCCACCTGATGCCCCTCCTCCAGATGGAACCTGGGCATTTGCTCAGAGACATCAGGTTGACACAGGGCTCGGTCCCAAGATCCTTCCCAGAGAAGGGGAGCCATTGGCCAGTAGCACAAGGAGCCCGGGACTTTCTAGAAGGAATTAGTAGATAAGATAATGGTCTTTTTTGGGAGAGAGGAAAATATAGGCTAGATTGCTTTGCCTTGAGAAGGAATCTCGGCAGGGGAAGCCTGGGTGCTCAGACAGAATGAAAAGACGTGGCTTTTAGCTACAGCATGTGGTTTCGTTTAGGTACCTGGAAAAACTCTGGAGGAGTGTGAGAGCTGGTAGGGTTTGGAAGAAGTGGTCAGCGGGTAGTTGGTGGTCTCTCTTCTGAAGAGCGGCTACACAAAGAGCACAGGCGGGAATGCGTTGGTGGTGGCGGGGCCCTCCTCCCCAGGGAGCTAAGATGAGGACTCTCCTCTCGGGATTCCCTGGAGGCTTAGCCCGTGGCCCACCCTCACCTACTCCTTCTCCCCAGCATGAAGGACCCAGGGGAGGAGGCACGAGCCAGACGGCAAAATGAGAGCAGTGATGCCGCCCACCCCGCGCCCACCCCGCACACCAGTTTGGGGGCAATCAGATGGGGGCGTTGTGGGCTGCAGGGACTCCGACCCTGGTGTCTGCCCCCAGTTCTGGCGTTGCTTCGGGACCGCTCAGCTCTGACCTCAGCACTCAGGTGGCACAGCTTGATGGGAAGAAGTAAGGTCTTGGCCATCCATACAGACCACCCCCAAAGCCTGGCTGCCTTCTAGACCAGTGCGTGGCCCCTGAGGCCGACCGCCCCAGCCAAAGCCAGGGAGGTGCGCATCAGTCGCTGTGTAAGGAGGGAAAGAGGAAACCGCGGAGAGGAAGAGGAAGCAGAAGGTGGCTGGGAGAGAAGACAGCAGTCATGTGCGGGTGGGGGAGGGAGCCACGCAGGTTCACATGCTCTTTGGGGGTCAGCCTGAAGAGCCCGAGGAAGGGAAGGGGGTGGGGACAGGGACGGTGGGCTCAGCCCTCCAGATCCTCCACCAGGCTCTCTCCTTCCTTCTCGGAGCTGCCTCTCGCCATCACCACTCTTTTTTTTTTGCGGTACGCGGGCATCTCACTGTTGTGGCCACTCCGCACACGCAGGCTCAGCGGCCATGGCTCACGGGCCCAGCCGCTCCGCGGCATGTGGGATCTTCCCGGACCGGGGCACGAACCCATGTCCCCCGCATCGGCAGGCGGGCCCTCAACCACTGCACCACCAGGGAAGCCCACACACCACTCTTTTTAAGGAGCCCTTTCTGATGCTCTTACCGGGCATCTCTGGGCAGTTACCAGGAAGAGAAGGAAGACAAGAGAAAGCTACTTTGCAGCATCTGGGTCCCTGGTCTGAGGCCATGGCAGAATTGGGAAAAGGACGTTAAACCAAAAGACGCTGCGTCTTAACTTCTGGGTCTGTTACTGTGACCTTGGGCGAGCTGTCTCACCTCTCAGCCTCAGCTTGAGCTTCTTGTAAATGGGATAGTAAACTCCTGTCACATGAGGGTGCCCTAAAGACTAACTGAGATAACATTTCGCCTCTCAGCCTCACTTTGATCTTCCTTTGACTAAGGTAGTGAAGTCCTGTCACATGAGATGTCCATAAGGGTTGATGAAATGAGATGCGATGCATCCGGCAGCAGGACCTCAGCAAACTCCGGCGGGCAGAGCCACTGGTCCCCGCTGCAGCCTCCAGCCCACCTCGGCCCTGGTGGGCTTGGGGGAGGGCAGCGAGCTGGGAGCTCACGGCCCCTGCTTTCCTGCCTGCCCAGTGCCCCACCCATTCCTGCTCATCCAGCAGGAATGCCACCTGGCCCTCCTCCCACAGGCTCCTCTTGTCGAGCCCTGAACTGCTCCCTCCCCACAGGCCCCAGGAAGCGGGCCCAGCCCCAGAATCAGCAGCCATACTCATCTCTCTGGCAAGATGCCCACGTTGCCATCTGTCCCCAGACGTGCCCACGCGGGCGCTGGCACAGAAGGCGGGGCACCGGCCAGGCCCAGGGCTGGGGAGGACTCAGAGGGGCTGTGGCTCCTGCGAGGACACTGCCTGACCCCGGGGGCTCTGACGGGAGAAGGAGGGGCAGTGCCATCCTCCTGGGCAGAAACTCCTCAGTCTCTGCCTTCTGCTTGCACACCTCGTGCCGCCTGCCTCTCAGCCTCCTGTCCGGGGACCGCGCCTTCAAGCCCCAGGCTCCCACCAGCTGCGGCTGCACGTGACCAGTGCTGACAACACAGGCTACGTCCTCACTGCCGTGCCTTCGCCAGCTCCACGGCTCCACTCAGAATACCTCCAGGTCCACCAAGGCAAATGCTACCTGTTCCTCCTAATGAAGATGAAACCCTCCCGCCACAGAAACTCACAAGCACCGTGTAATTACCAAGTACTAACTGCACACCAGGCACTGGGCTAAGTGCTTTAAATATCTTCTCACTTAATTTCACTAAAACCCTGGGATAGAGGTATATTGCTATTTCCATTTGAAGACAAGGACCTGGAGCCTTAGAGATTTAGTGATTTGTCTCAAGTCCAAAGGCTATGTTTTCTTTTCCCCTCCCACACTCTAATCGGGAGGAAAGACCGTGGGCTTGGGAGTCTAACTAACCTGGATTCAAGTTCACCTCAGTTACTTACTAGCTATGCGGCGCTTGACCAGGTACATAACTGCTCTGTGCCCCATTATACCCATATAATGGGGAATTAGGTGGGGAAACAAATAAAGGCCTTGCAGTGAACCACAAACACAATGCCTGGCACAGAGCAGTAGGAAATGCGAGTAGAAAAATAGTCAGTAATTAATGTTTAGTCAGTGCTTAATATGAGCCTGGCACTGATCTAAGTATTTTACCTGCTGCATCTCGAGACAATCTTTAATCCTCACAACGACCTGACGAGGTAGGTGTTACAAGTATCCTCACGGTACAAACAAGGAATCCAAAGCTCAGGGCCAGCCCACCCTCTGGTGTCCTGCTCCAGGACCGTCTGCTTTCTTCACTTCTGCTTAAAAGCCCTCCTTGGGTACAGGTGGAAGCAGCAAATGTGATAATGAGAGAACATGCCCTCTCTCCAGCGGGAGCCTTAATTCCGAGAAAGTAGGACCGTGTCTTAATCATCTTCGTAGGCCTCACAGTGTAACACGATAGCGTGCCTATGGTAGGAACTACACTGACGTTCGGTGTCTGTTAGGAGTCCAAACCTCCATGCATCAGGAAGGAAGTAAAGGAACACTTATCGTGCGCCCTCCATCAGCCACGGAAGGTCAAGGATGTTCACAGATCACTTTTGCCTTCAAGAACCCACCTGACTTTCACCCACGAGGGAACTGAGTCCCAGAGAAGTTAACTACACAAGGCACACAGTGGTGAGAGGATTTCAATCCGGATCTGTCTTAAACCTGGGAGATGTGGGAGAACACAGTGGTTGGAGTCACACTTTAACAAGTGTGTAAGTGACGTGTGTGCCTGTGGAGAGTTGTGCCTTCCTGAGCTCTTCTAAAATGCTGGAGTGGGACAGGCTGTTTACAGTGATCCACTCTCCCTGCCCCTCATTTTCTCTGAAATATAAGTTACTTTGGTTAAAGGGTATAATTAATGTATACGAATAAGACTCTACCAGGAACAATAGTGGCAGAGAGATACAACTTTGAACATATATGGTAATGAGATCTATTTTTGTTTATTATGGGAAAAAAAGAGTAGTAGAATATTTCACTTACATAAGTGTCTCAGAAGTTGTTTGCTGTGTGAGAAAGTTCTAAAGGTTTCTCAATGCCCTCTTGGTCTATGATCTGTTTCTATGCATCAGCACCCTGGTGGTGCTTTGCCTGGTGATAACAGTAGAATGTTACCAGTCATGATTTCAGCTATGATTTTAAATGTTACCTGGCTGCAACCTTACTTCTTTAATTTGAATCTAGCATCTTCTAGGTCAGTGGTTTTCAACTGGGGATGTACATCAGACTTTCCTATGGAGTTTTATTAAAACATAGATGTTTAGGACTTACTCCAGACTTACTAAATCTCTTCAGTCAACATTCTTGGTATCTCCTTGTATATTATGTAAATTATGTATTGGGGTTTTTATATATCTCAAGATTTTTTCCTCTATAAAAATTATGCTCATCATTTTTATGAATCAGATATAATGTTCACTGTCTTCTTTGAAATTAGCCTTAGTGTGTTTTTAGACATTGTCTAATTTTTTTTTTGGATTGGCTTTATTTTGTTTTACATACCTCAGGAATAATCAGACTTCCTTGTTAGCTGCATTTTTCTTGTCATGAATTCTCATCATATCATTCACTTTTGAAAATTATCATTAATAAGTTAATCCATACCTCTTTAGGTCTCTGTCCCTTACAGATAGTTTTTGTTCTACTCTGATGCTCCCTAAAGGCTGTGCAGTCAGCTATAGGCCAAAGGTTTTACCTTCAGCAAACAAGAACTGTCTCAGAAAAGCACAGGACCAGGTACATACTCGTGGGTACGGACTCCTGATGACATCACTCAGATATCTTTAAGAACATACCAGTGGACTGAGTCAGGATTTCCAAAACTCTTCAGCAAAGAAGCTGACCAGATTATGTGGTTGTGAACCCAAGATTCAGCAGAACAAGAATTAATCACTTAGGACTGAAAGAACTGATAAGGAATGACTGTCACGTTTGGAATATTACTGATGTTGTTATAGTGTTCAATCTTCTGAATATATAAGAAAGCCCTTTCTCTTTCTTCTTAAGTTGTCTGTAACCCATAACAATTTAGGAGACCCTGTTTTTGTAAACTGAAACATTTGTAAATACCTTATTCTCCCTGCCTGACTCCTCGGAATTCAGAAACTGTTTTTGAGTCTTCTTGCTTTTTATAAAATATGGTTATTTGCAAAAGTTCAATAGGAATTTTTTTCTTTTTTTTTAACCAGAACATATTAGAAAACTTGGTTTTACAACCAAGGCCTTGCCTGGAATGTCGTACTTGACAATGATGCTCATTTAATCAGCTATTGCTGCCACTTTTAAGGAATTAAGGTTGACAGCCAATACAAAACCCACCTAATAAAACCGGCTTACTGTGTTCCCTTACACACAAATCAGGAAGGTCACTCCCTGGCAGGTCCAGGAAACTTAGGATATTTGGGGACCTCAAGAAGAGAGAAGTTTGCCTAAATTTATAGGCACAGCAGGTAAAGCCTAGTGGAGACAGCTTCTTGGCTCGGCTTCCTAATCTCAGAACAGTAAATAATAGAAGGATTTTAAAAGTCCAATCCAAGATCCCTATGAAAACTTGCAGCCAAAGTGAACGTAACAAGGCCTATACAGTAAATTATGTATATAGATTATCAGATCAAATCTAAGGAGACCAACCCTATTTCGTGATCAAGAATAATCTTTCTTTGAGACTATTTTTGATCCCAGCAGGGCAGACTGTAGGGGAAAAAATGTGTTTCTCTGGAGAACTGTGCGTTGCCCAGAGGACACCCCTCCAAGTTATCTGATTCTTGTCTTTCACTGAGCTTGAATTCCATGAAGTGGTAAGTAACTGGTAAGTCATATAAAATATGTCCATGAACTGACAGAGTTTCAATAGTCTTCCCTCCCAATCAGTTTTGCCTCAATATGCCTAACTTACAAATGGGGACGTTCTTTGTATTCTCTCTTTTCAAAACTGTGGTAAAATATATGTAACATAAAATTTAACGTTTAACCATTTTAAAGTACGCAGTTCAGTGGCATCAACTACCTTCGTGTTGGTGTGCCGCCATCATTACCATCCACCTCCAGAACCTTTTCATCTTCTCAAGCTGCACCTCTGTACCCATTAAACAATAACCCCCCATTCTCCCCTCCCTGGGTTTTTCTTTTGTGCCAATTATAACATCTTCTGGCACCCTCATTATGAGTGAAATAAAATCTTTTTAACACATGTTCATTTTTATATCCTTACGAGAGTCATGATCTTATCTTTTTTTCTGAAAAATATCTTTTAAGAGTCCTAAACTCAAAAAGGACCAAATAAATAATCTAATGAGTGGGGAAGGTTGGGAGTGTGAGGACTGTCCCCAGTGAGGGCTGTCACCAACTGACCATCCTGATTTGCCCGGGACTGAGGGGGCTGGGGATGCAGGATTTTCTGTTTTAAAACGGGAACAAGCTGGTCATAGTAAGAGCTTGCACCCCATCTAAAAGGGGCTCCTACCCCTAATGATATAATTGGGGAATTTAGGCCTGAGACTGTTACATCAGAGAAGCGAGGAATCTGGCTATCTACATTGTTTTATAATTTGTAAACGATGGCAACTAACACAATATTAAACAAAACAAAAACACTGTGCAGACCAAGCAAACTGCTCCAGTGTGGCCTCTGATGAAGAATGGGCTGAAAGCCCTCCACCCCACCACACCCCCCCTGATCCGCGGCCTCCTCAGGACTCCTTGGTCGGGAGGAAAACTCCTGTGGAAGCCGCCGGCCCGCCGCTGGGGTGACTACCCTGCTGCGGGGCAGCTGCTGCTCTGATCTGAGACGCATGCCCTCCCGGGAGCGTGTCTCTCAGGGCCCAGAACCCCTCAAGGCAAGTCCCAGGACCACTGGGTTCTGGCCTTCGTGTTATCCAAGGGCCAAAAGAGACCAAAAGGACCACTCGACAACTCCAATGGCCACTTTTTCAGCAACTCCGCCACGCCCTGACCTCGGTTCCCTAGCCTGCAAGCCCGGCTCCCCCGGGTGCTCAGCGATAAAGGAGGCGCTCTGAAGGTCTCCCCGGGGTCGGGTGGGGGTGTGTGCGTGTCTGGAAGTGCGGATGCAAACGGGCATCGGTGGAAACTCTCCTGGGCAGCCTCCCAGGGAGGGGTCCTGCGGAGGCGGAGCGAGCTAGGGCGTGCGTGCCACCCACCTCCCCGCCGACCGGCCAGATCCTGTCAGAACCCGCCGCCGCGCCGCCCCCCGCCCCCCCCCACCCCCCACCAGCACGCTGGGACTCCCGGCCGCCCGAGTTGGATCCGCCAAACCCGAGGGAGAGGGAGGCCGTCCTGGCCCGGCGCCCCCCACCCCGCAGGCCCTCTCACCAGCTGTCCCTGGAGAAGGCGCGGAGGAACCAGACGCCCGGCGCCAAGGAAGACCGCATCTTGCCCGGCGATACCCGAAGCGAATCCGAAGCAGAGGAGGATGCAGAGCTGGGCACGCGCCCCGAGCTGGCAGTCCCCAGAGTTTAAATGCCCCGCCGGCCGGCCCGCCCCGACGCCGCAAACCGTGGCCTTCAGCCCCCGCCCCCTTGCGCCTGACCGCCCTCGGGCCCGGCCAAGCGCAAAGCGCACGCCCACTGCCCATCCTCCGGCCGGCCTCGGGCACGGACTTTTCTCGTGCTCTGCCTCCGGGCTAGGGACCCGCGGCCCTCCGAGCCTCTGGGGCCTCTCCTTCGGCCTGCGCTTGTCGGCTCACTTCCCTCCGGGGAACTGAAAGCTGCGATCCCAGATTCAGTCAGCTCTGCGTGACCTCCCGTCTACCCTCAGCTGCTCCTGCAGTGCCTTCCTATCCTGATTAGCTGTGGCGCAGACACAGATCGGGAAACTGAGGCAGGCTGGAGGGCCAGCGTCCCAGAGGACGCTGATTTGAGTGTCAGCGCCCCCTGGGAGCGTAGGTGTCCCAACAGGGACTTTCTGTCCCACTCAGATTCCAGATTACGCAGTGAGCCAGACAAGACCCTACCGCACCTCGTCCACGGATAGACTGATACCCCCCGCCCCGCCTCTACTCCCCACGGTGACTGTGCAGCGGCCACTCCTGCTCTCCCTTCTGAAGGCCCGCAGCCATGCAACAGTGAAGGGCCCCTCTGAGGCAGAGTTCCGTGCTCTTAAAAGTGCTCTGCAGACCTCTGGCCTGAAGATTTCCAGGGTATGTTTCCACCTATAAAAAGCAGTGATTGTGAGATCTTTGTCTATGAACCCAAGGGTGAACTAACTATAGAGGGAAGCATTGGCCTGGAGAATAAAATGGTTAATAGAACGTAAACTAGGAACTTGTCTGGGCAAATAGATTTCAGCCCTAAGCCCACCCTGCCCCTCACTCCTAGGAGTGCCCAGACCCAAAGTGCAAGGTCAGAGAAGGGCAGTAACGGCTACACCAAACAGGTTCAGACCCAGGAGAGTGCGCTTGGCCGCTACCAGCCCCGGAATCAGGCAAAAAGAGGTAAACAGAGTTGTAAAACCCTCCGGTAACGCCAGGCAGTCAGGGGCAGGGGTCTCGTGGCAGAAATGAAGACAGCAACAAACAGAAGAGGGCAGGAGGTAGACGACTACAAAGGAAAGGGGACAGGGGATAGAAGGAAGAAGCTGTGCTGGGTTATGGAGCTGAAACACTGAGGAAGAGCACAGCTACCAGCAGCTAACTCAGCCCTTAATTATACCACACAGGGTGCCCAGACGTACATTCATTTCGTTCTTACAGGTCAGGGAGGTGGGCATTATCCATCTGAGAAGACTGACTACCCATGCTGGTTGGCCTGGGACAATCCCAGCAGACACCCGCAGTCCCAGAACGTATGATGGACAGCTCTGGGGTCAGTAACACCCAAAAGACATTAGGCCTGAAAGAAGGCAGATTAAGGGTGGAAAATAAAATGGGATAATGAGCTGATATCACCAGGAAGAGAGCTGCCTGTGTCCAAAGGACTAGAGGGAAGGAGAAAGTTGAATACAGAGGAGCCAGGGAAGCAGCTGAGGTCACTTGAAGCTACACGGGAGGAGTACGTGGATATCAGCAAGGGCTCCAGGGGTGCTATCCAGACTTCAGCAGTGGGGAATGTCTATCTTTCCATTCCAGACAGAGAGAAGCCAACGCATAAGACGCATTAGCGCTCATTTTACATGCCCCTCTGGAGAAGGTGTGTTTGTGCCCCTCAGGGGATCATGCTTGTCTGTGGCTGGAACCCTCAGAGAGGCATAAAGAATACGCCCTCGTGGTGGTATGGCTCTTACTCATGCTGTGCCAGTGAGTGGCTGGGAGCAGGGCCAGTCCTGAGACAGTCTTTGCCTTGTCCTAGTGGCTTCCTGTGAATTCAGGGGCCAGGATGGCAGCAGGGACAGTCCTACCAATGTTCCTCACTTGCTCCTGTGTGTGACCTGACAGTATCCTCGCTTCCTGCTGCTTGGGGGAGTGACAAAGAAGGATACTTCTTTCACTCAGCTACACAAGCTCTCTGCCCTCGACTCACCTTCCTGTTATCTGGCCCCCTTCACATGCTACCTCCTCGTACCTGGCAGGGTGTGGACAGTAGTATCTGAAGGCAATAAGGAGGGAAGGGATGAGCGACTGAATCACACACTAAAGAAAGAGAGCCTTAGTTCTTATTGTGGGTAGCCCTATAATTGGTCAAAAATGCTTACTATGCCTTAGTATCAGACACCTGAAAACAGGAGCCAGCAGATAATGACCTTTTTGCCCATCAAATACCAGTTCCTATTGCTAGCAGGTTTCATTGACCATCCATGGGACTTTTTTCGGTAGTCAGTTATCCGTTTAGGTCCTTCTAGATATAGCAACGAGTGTCCTCCCTGGTTTTTTCAAAGGGACCCAGGGACCTGAATTCTTGAGAAAGTCTGTGAGAACAAGTGCCACGAGGACAAGCCATTAGGCAGCAGAACCCTCGCGTTTCCTGCACACACACGATCATCATTCTTTGACCACATCTCCGTTCTCCCACTTCTGTCTCACTCAACAGAGAATAGCACGATTTTTTCTGTGATAGAGTCAGAACCCAGACCCTTGATTAGTGGGGTAGGAGTTGAGATATTAGGAGAAATTGGGATTACTCAACCTTTTAAAGGTTCAATTTCATATTAGGCCTGTTGGTTGAGATGCCAAGTGTAGTGAAAAGAACATGGGTTTTGAGGCAGAGCCAGCTCTGGCTCTCCTACTTCTCCAAACCTCAGTTCTCTCATCTGTAAAATGTGGATAATAACATTGATCTTGCAAGGTGGCTGTAAGAATTTAAAATTATGCATATAAAAAGTGGCCATATTAAATAGGTTTGGTAAGTGGAGCAATTCTTATATGTGCATTAGCAAACATACAGCTTGAGGATTAGATATTGACTACAACTGATGGAAACAGATGGCCGTTAAAAATGAGAACAAAATATAGGTGCCGAAGGATCAGAGTCCTTAAAAAGTATCAATGGGTGTAACAGAATAGATCTGACCTGCAAAGTCTTTAATATCCTGTGTGTGTGTGTGTGTGTGTGTGTGTGTGTGTGAATGTATATGTATGTGGGTGTCTGTGTGTGTGTATATAACTTCACTCACTGAGTTACTGCAAACATTATGATAATACATGTGGAATAATTTGGGCTTGACAAGGATGGATGTATGGGTTAAGTAAAGTGTCATAAAAATGAAGGAAGCTATTATTATCTCAAATATATCAGATGCTGAACTCTTGCTAAGAAGAATTGCTTTTAAACTTCTTCCAGCCAACACAATCAAAAGATAAATAAGCAAGGTGCCCCCGTATCCAAGAAGATTTTGTTTCTCAATAAAAGACAATTTTTCGGAAGGGCTTGGCAAAGAAAGCCCCAGCATTGATACGACTGGTCAAAAGGAGGGGCTTCAGTCTATTCAAGACTGGACTGATGGCTCCTAATGGCCTGAAGAATGGGCTTTGGGGACCACTATCAGCCAAACAAGGGGACAGTCCTGCTCTCAAACAGTCAACCGAGGTGGCAGCAGGTATATATACGGACAACCTGAAAGGAGGCAGTCCTTGGGAAGGGAGGAGCAGATTGGGCAAGTGGTTAAACTATTATGGTCTCCCAAAGTTGCTTTGTTCAGGGGGAGAAATAAAAAGGAATATAAGGTAACGATAAAAGGCAGACTCAGGTAGTCTGTTCACACAAGCTGAGGACAAGTTTTGGTTGCTCTAGTATCTGAAAGTAACAATTCATTAATATATTCATTTAATCAACACTGTTGGAGTGCCAACTATGTGCCAGGCAGGATGAGACAGGCACAGCCCCTAATCTCAAAGGAGTCACAGTTGAATGGGACAGACATGTATAGGGATGTAATTCCACCTCAAAGAGCCCTAGAGGAACAGGTTGACTCAAACAAGAAACAGGTTAAAGAGGTATGTTCATCCTCCTAAGGAGGCCCTGAGAAAGGATCAGATGACCCTGGAAGAGGCTTGAGATGCTCCACAGTAGGTAACATGAGAAGCAGATGTGAAGCACAGCTGGGCGCGTGCCAAGTAGAGAAGAAGAGAAAGGTAGGACCAACAGAGCGCATGGACACAGGCATGTGCAAAACAGCAGAGCATGAAAAAGCGTGGTCTATTTAAGAGATGGTGCATAAAAAATTCTGTGTAGCTGGAGAGCACAC